TATCATTTCAGAAATTTCAGGTATGACTTCAAAGCTCTTCTGTGTTGTCTCCTGGACTTGTTTTGGGTGGTGTGGAGGTCTTGGATTGCATTTTGCTGCTTTGTTTTGTCATTTTTTAATATCCAGAGGCTCCCTGGAGTGTGGCGGACAGCCAGTGACGTCCCAGAGGGTGCCCAAGGTTTCCCCTGCCTTGCACACTGGTCAGGGAGGCAAAGCCATGACTCCTCCATTTTTCGTTAAAGGGAAGTCATGATTGATGCAAATTTCCATCATCTCTCAGTTAGTAACATCTGGTGGGAACCAGCCACTTGGCACTACATGGAAGAGTCCCTTGTGCTCCTTGGACAGGGCATAAGAGATGGCACACACAGAAATGGGGTCTTATGCATTATTTTTTTTTCTTGCAGTAAAGGACTTACATGTCACAGAGTACAGATAACGCATATTTTAAAGTTACGTCTTTTAGCTCAAGGCTATACTTATCTCAGTAAAGGTTTTCTCCTGGTTATGACCTTTTTAAGGCCTTGCTTGAAGATGCAGAGCGGTGCAGACATAAGATGCAGACAGCCTCGACTCTCATCAGCGGCTTGGCGGGCGAAAAAGAAAGATGGACTGAACAAAGCAAAGAGTTTGCTGCACAAACTAAAAGACTTGTGGGTCTGTAAATTCATTTTTCCTTATTTTTTAGAAAAATAGTGAATATGAGTACTCAGATCAATGATTTTTAATTTCTCAGATTCATAAGCGAACATAACATACTTTGATCACTTTCACCCCCATCACCCTCCTTGTCCCACTCTCCTACAGTCCCATGTTTTTTTTTGGGGGGGATACAGACAGTGTATTTTGATCATATTCATCCCCTTATGAGATGATATTGATTAGGATAGGGCGTAAGCAAGTTTGAGCTTTAATCAAGCAACACTTAATTATTTCTGCTCTCTCTGTCTCTCTATTTCTGTCTCTGTCTCTCTCTTTCTCTCCCTCCAGTCATTTCAAAATGATAGGCAATGGTCTGACATATTTTCTGTCCTAATTGGATGAGTTAATGACCTTTACACATGTTATCAGGCCACTTTCCCATTCTCCTGTGAGTCTGTGGGAATATTGATCAAGGGCACTTTGCATGAAGGCTCTGTCTTCTGAGGTGCCAAAGCTCATAAACTCAGAGAAAGTCCACTCCCTTGCAAGAAAAATCAAAATAGTCCAGTGCTTGCTTCCAGCAGTGATTACTTCGTAGGCTCTTTGGCTGTGTTTACCAATAAACCAGACTCCTGCTGATTCACCAAAGCGTGGGAACTTGTGGTTACAATGTGATCTGTGCAATTTAGTTTTTAAAAGAATGTCTTTTTAGTTTTTTTTTAAAAAAATTGATGTGTTGTATAATCACAAGGAGGATTATAAATATTCAGTAGAGTTTGTTTTCTATTTTAGGGGATGTATTGCTGGCTACAGCTTTTCTGTCTTATTCTGGACCATTTAACCAAGAGTTTCGAGATCTGTTGTTGAATGATTGGAAGAAGGAAATGAAAGCTCGGCAAATTCCATTTGGAAACAATTTAAATCTCAGTGAGATGTTGATCGATGCTCCTACTATTAGTGAGTGGAACCTGCAAGGTCTGCCAAATGATGACCTGTCCATTCAGAATGGAATTATTGTCACAAAGGCATCTCGCTACCCTTTGCTAATTGATCCACAGACTCAAGGCAAGACCTGGATTAAAAATAAAGAAAGTCAGAATGAACTCCAGGTAACTTGTGTTTGAGTATATTTGCATTATTGCTTAAATTTTTATTGCCTCAAATTAGATTGCTAAAAGTCCAAGAGTTAAGAAATATTTGAAAACCTTACACAATGTTCATAATCTTAGGTGGAGCCGTAGTAGGTCCAAGATTAAATCTAATAATGAAATCTTTTTGAAAAATCTCATTATTTGCATTTGTGTTCATGTATACTAATGGCATTTTTCAATGGTTTTAGACTCTACTCTGTTAAGGCCTAAGGTTCTCTTTGATAAATAAAGAAAGACAGAGCTGTATCATAATATATCTACTGTGCTTACAAGGGTATGTCTTAATTATTCTGTTATTATTTGTTACAAAGGTGCTGGGGATGAAAAAAAAGCAGCATTAGTACCCAGAGACTTACATGCTTCCCAGTAGAAGGGAATAACAACTTGATAAAAAGAATAGGAATAGTTTAAAATTTCCATACCATTTCACCAAGTATGATTTCCAAAGCCAAGGGTTTTTAAACATTTGTGTTTGTCTGCTGAGCTAGAATATTTTAAGTATAGCATGATATTGCTTGTCAACCTGTGTTGAATCAAGAGACTGTGTCAAGAGTAACCTTTCAGTCCTGCTTCTAGATCACATCTCTAAATCACAAGTACTTCAGAAACCACCTGGAGGACAGCCTTTCTCTTGGAAGACCCTTACTTATTGAAGACATTGGGGAAGAACTAGATCCAGCTTTAGATAATGTTTTGGAAAGAAACTTCATTAAAACTGGATCTACCTTTAAGGTAGGTTAAATCTGTTGACAACAATATACAGAACAATTATGCAAAGTCAGGTAAATGTGACATGGATAGAATTCTCTCACTGGGTAGTAACTGAAGTTAGAGTCACTTGTGAGAAGGTTTTTTTTCTGTACTTCTTGAGTTGGGACTTATTCAAGAACAATCTTCTTAGGTGTATATACTTTATAGCGGACCCTCAAGTTACAGCTGGCCTCACATTTAAACAACTTGGGTTACAACTGAATAATGAATACAGATGCAAAAGTCCTTAATAAGATAATGGCAAACAGATTGCAGCAAATCATCAAGAAGATTATACATCATGACCAAGTAGGATTCATACCAGGGATGCGGGGATGGTTCAATGGATGAAAATCAACAAGTGTAATACAGCAAATTAACAGAACCAAATACAAAAACCACATGATTATCTCAGTACATGCAGAAAAAGCTTTTGACAAAGTCCAACACTTATTTATGATAAAGACCTTACAGAAAATTGGAATACAAGGTAATTACCTCAGTCTTAGAAAAGCTATCTATGGCAGACCAACAGCTAATATCATATCAAATGGTCACAAACTGAAAGCTTTCACTCTAAAATTAGGAAGAGGACAAGGATGTCCATTGTCAGCACTCCTATTCAGTGTAGTTCTGGAAACATTAGACAGTGCATTTAGACAAGAACAAGAAATAAAAAAGGTAAGGAGAAGAAAGGAAGAAGTTAAATTATTATTTGCAGATGACATGATACCCTACGTAGAAGACCCCAAAAATCCCACCAAAAGACTTTAGAATTAATAACCAAATTCAGTAGTGTAGCGGGATACAAAGTTAACACTCAAAAGTCAGTAGCATTCCTGTACACAAACAGCAAATTCACAGAGAGAGAAGTTAGGGAAAGCACGCCCTTCACAGTGTCATTCAAAAAAAATGCAATACCTAGGTATCAATCTAACAAAGGATGTAAAAGATCTGTACAGTGAAAATTACAATACCCTAAGAAAGGAGATTGAGGAGAAGATCAGAAAATGGAAAGATACCCCTTGCTCATGGATAGGAAGAGCCACCATAGTGAAAATGGCCATACTCCCCAAACTGCTATACAGATTTAGTACAAATCCAATGAAAGTACCTTTAACGTACCTCACAGACCTAGAGAAAACATTCCTGAAATTCATTTGGAGCCAAAAAAGATCTAGAAACTTGGTTGAGGGTTCCATCTTTCTTCTGTGGGGTCAAATTCTATATTTATTTCATGGTGTGTGCTGAACTCCTCCCTCACTTCCTCCCTCTCTTCCAACCCCATCCTCCCTCCATCCGTCCCTCTCTCCCTGCGTCATCTTTCCTTCCTTCTACCCTAGTGGATTGAAGCACTGTGAATACTCAATGACTATTTATTATTCAGTATATAAGCTATCTCTGATGTTTAAATTGTTTATAGCAATACCTTGTTTTTTTTTTTTTCTTTTTTTTTCTGGTACCGGGAATCAAGCTCACGACCTTGTGCTTGCCAGGCAGATGCTGTGCCACTGACCTAAATCCCCAGTCCCCTTGTTTACAGCAATACCTAATTATGCAAAACGACATGGTAAGGTGTATCTCTTTTATTATTTGAACTTTCTTTTTATGGAAAAGGTGAAAGTTGGTGACAAGGAAGTGGATGTTCTGGATGGCTTCAGACTCTACATTACTACCAAACTGCCCAATCCAGCTTATACTCCCGAAATCAGTGCTCGGACCTCCATCATTGACTTCACTGTCACCATGAAAGGTCTGGAAGATCAGCTACTGGGGAGAGTCATTCTCACGGAGAAGCAGGTGGGTAAGGTGTGGCTACCTCCTTTTCTGCAATGAGGGAGTCTTTTATTGATGAAAATATGATAGAAATTGGCATAGGATTAAGCTTCTTTCTTTAAATCCTGTGTTTTCCATTAATTCACAAATATATTCTTTTTACCCAAAGGAAATTATTAATCAGTTATCTGCCTGTATGTTTCATATGTGTCTTCTGAAGTACATATTATACTGATTGCTTTCTGCAGACTGCTGATGTAGCTGTGAGCGCATCCATCTCAGTTTCTGTATCATTATTGTGGTCTTTGCTTTATTTTTTTTCTACAAGTTTGTTCTATTGTGAATTTTAGTCTCCTATTTACTTTGTTTCCTAACACACATCTAGGTTATTCTTTCATTTGAGTCCTTGCTATATTTGTGGAGTAGACTATGGAAACTTTATGCACACACAACAAATAACATTCTCTGTTCTTAGTTGTTATCTATGGGAGCTCTGTGTAGCTGTGGTGGGTCTGATGTGAGAGTGTAGAAGTTGTGACACTAACGTTTAATTGTGCACCTGACTTCAGGTGCCCTGGAAATATAACCGGTGTCCATTTGCTTTACTTCTGTTTTATGGGCTAACTTAATGCTCAGAGAAAAATAGCCAAGAATATAGCAACTTCCTTTTTCTGAGTCAGCATTTTCTAGCGAACTTGTGAGGCCTCAGCAAAAAAATGCAGAGGATGTTAATGAGAATGCTGTAGTGAAACTGCAGGAACTCTTAAAGCGGCTATTGACTTTCTCCTGGCTTTCCACAGCCAGGAAGAGTTTAGTTTACTATGTGGTTCCTTTTGTGCTGACCTGAAGATTTATTAGGTGAAGCTGGTTTGCAAAATCATTGAATCTGCACTTCCCACTGTTTACCTTTTCTGCAGGCCGTGTTGAGCCTGCTCTTCCAAGCTCTGCTAAGCGTCTATTTCATTCTCTCCCTTCTCCCTCCCGCCCTTCTTCCTCTCTCTGTCTTCCTTTTTATTTTGAATCTTCTCTCTTTATTTCTAATTTGCAGCACATGAATCGTAGAGTCATAAAGTTGAAAGTTATCATAGGAGCATTTAATCCAGCTTCATAAATTCACATGTTTAGTTGAACTCAGTATGACAGGGATGGGTACTGTCGTTCTTTCCACAGACTTGCTGTTGAGGTAATAACAGCCTTCTATATATATGTTTGGTTATTTGTTTATGTATGTATATATGTATTTTTATGGTACTGGGGATTGAACCCAAGGCCTTTCACGGAGCTATATCCCCAGTCACTTTTTAATTTTTTATTTTGAAACAACATCTCCCTAATTTACCAAGTTGCCCAAACTGGATTCAAACTTGTGATCCTCCTGCCTCAGCCTCTGAGAGTGCTGGAATCACAGGCATGCATGATGAAGACTGGCTGTACTTCTTTATTTTCAAGTCTTGTGTTAAGTCTCAATTGATGTGGTTGAGGAAATTTAGCAATGCCTTATAGCTGCTTGAGGAAGGACTGGGATTTTTGATTGCCGGTGTGTTGCTGAGAAGGTGTGCATCCTGAGGACTTCTGGGGCAGCATCCATCATGGGTGCCCTATGCCCTGCTGTTACCAATAGCCTTTGCTTCAGGGAAATAGGGGCACTCTTGGCACTTGGTGTGATAGCCTTGTCCTTTGTTTTCTTACTCAGCTGAGATGAATCCATTTCCTAAGACAAATTTTTCCTGGCAAATGTGGGATGCCACAAAACGAAACGAAACAAAACAAAACAAAACAAAACAAAACAAAACACAAAACACACAGCACTGAGTATTGCTTACTGCAGCAGAGGTTTACTAGGAAGCAAGCAGCCCCTTAAGCTCTTTTTAAAAAGACTTTAACAGCCTGGCAAAGCTAGTATGGACCTACAGCCAGGCCTTTTCTTTTTCCTTGGGAAATTGAGTCTTTTGAGAAAATTGCTCCTCTACCATTGTCTTATTATCAGAATCTCTTTCAGGCTCACAATACACAGCTCTTAAAAACTGCGGCCAGAGTAACATGACCTTCATTCTTTCACAGTCACAAAGGGTCGTCTCACCCTGAACCACGTTTTAATACAACTCTTAAGATTTATTTATTTTTTTTCCCAAAGTAAAGTGTCCTAATGCTGGAAGTGAGCTGTGGGGATTACTTTTGCTGGTGTTTCAGAAGTTTACTTTCCTCCGAACAGTTTTGCCTTCTTAGCATCCATCCTTTCCATCGTATTCCTGCTCGCACAGCTGAGTCTTCCAGGTCTGGGTGGTGGCAAGTGTGTCTGAGTCGCTCCCTCTTGTTTTTGAGGTCATGAGCCGCAGTCTAGTCACCCACTGAAAACAGCCGTATGTCTGTGCTTTATGGACACGGGTATAATTTCAAGTGCAAAGTGCTCCTTTGATTTCAGTGACAGACTCTGGCTGTAATCACTTCTTGGATGGTTACAAATATAGAATGAAAATAAAAATTTTCCTTGAGCAAAGGTGGGTGGGGCCTGTTGGAGGCTGGGAAGAGCCTACGAAGAGGAAGGTGGTGTTAGAGAGCACTGGAGAACTGTGAGGCCGACACACAGGTGACTCTGTTCATCCAGAAACGCTTGCCTCTCCTGGTCTCTTGATTTTTTTCTTGGGAAATGCTGTTCTGATCATGCAAAGGAAAAGCACATCTTCTTGGATTCCATCAATTTACTAAATGTCCAGTATCCTGGGAGGACAGGGCAGGGAGGGGCTTCACCACCACCATGTTGCAGTCTCCACTATGCACCTGCCTGAATCCAAAGTTTATTGGCTTCAGGAATAAATGGAAATTGGAGAACATATGCATACAAGGAGATGTGACTTTCAAACTGATTTCATACTTTTCTGTGTTCTTCAAGGCAGTCTATTTATTTATTTATTTTTAAAATTGACACAATTATTGTACATATTTATTGGGTGCACTATGGTGTGTCCATTCGTGTACACAGTGAGTAAGGGTAAAATCAAGATATCTAGCATCTCTATTTATGTCTTTATACATTTGTTGTATCTTTGTGGTGAGATTAGAATATCTACCTTTTAGCTGTTTAGAAGTATGCACAGTTTTTACCTATAGTTGCCGTACTGTGCAACAGAACACCAGAACTTACTCCTCTTGTCTGCTTATAAGATTGTACCTGTTGAGCAACCCCTTCCTGTTTTCCTCTCCTCATTCTCTGGTAACCACTCTTTTACTCTTTACTTCTATGACATCAACATTTTAAAGCTTTTGCAAGTAAGTGTGATCTTTGTCTTTCTATCTCTAGCCTTATTTTGCTCAATAGGCTTTCCTCTAGTTCAATCCATGTTGTCACTAATGACAAAATTTCTTCTTTTTAAGCATCTGAATCACAGTATTGTGCTGTGTATACATACCACATTTTGCTCATGCATTCGTCAGGTGATGGACTCTGGGTTGATTCTATGTTGGACGTTGTGAAGAGTGCTGAAATGAACGTGGGATACACATGTCTCTTTGACATACTATTTCATTTCCTGTGGATACATAACTAGTAGTGGAATTATTGGATGACGTGGTAATTCTATTGCTAGTGTTTTTAAGAACTTCCATACTGTTTTCCCTAATGGCTGTACTGTTCAAGTCCACATCAATGCTGTATTTAATTGTTGACTTGATACACCATGAGTAGATTTGGACAACCTGTGTTGTCACAGAAGGTGATGTATTTAGATAATGTTTGAGTAGGAAGTAAGCAAGGAGACCTCCAATAACTTTCCTTTATAGAATACCAAATCACTTAGCTCATCCCCACCTTAAGCCTAGAGAATAAGACTGAAATAAAGAGAATTTTGTTCTATTAGGAGAAAAATATCAATTATTTGTCAGTTACCTTTACTGGTTGCACAATAAAGGGCCTCCAGGGTCTTTATTGTTCAGAATTCTGGATGAACAAGCAGATGGGTGATTTTCTTTTGAGATCAAAGGACCTGAACTTAGAGAAAGCTACTGGGAATGGGAAGTAATTTAATAAATATGCTAAATTTTTCATTTGATTTTCTTCTTTGGTATGCCACTTAATTTTTGAGCACTTAATTAAATAGTTGTTCATGAAATGGTACCATTCCTGTACTTTCTTCACTCATTTTGAAGTATTCCCTCCCCCAACTTATCATTATCACAATTTGTACAAAATTTTTACTTTGTAGCATTAGTATGCAAAATATTTACCATAAGTGTTTACATCTATCTATGATCTATCTTATACATCCATCCATCCATCCACCCATCCATCACTCTGTCTATGTAATCTAGCGTAGGAGGCAATCTCTTTGATGAATAAAAGATTTGCAGATAAAATTATTTTGATTCACCCTGCACATTGTATTTATTTGTAAACATGGTATCTTTTTATATAGTGCTATAATTTAAGTAGTAGTTGAACAGAAGTATGTGTAAATCATAGTAACGTTTTTCACTCTTTCACTCTTAAATAAAAATCAAATGGCAATTGTTCTATTTCCTTTCTCAGATAATCTTTCTTTTGCCCACTATAGTTCCATACTAATAATTGGTCACTTTTAGTTAGTACAAAGATTGCGTGTATAATTTCATGTAGAACTTTAAGTTATGCTCTTCATTTTATGTTCATCAGTTCTAAACTTTGAGGAATGTTATTTCTCAAATTTATTTTTAGTTCTTCAGAAATATAATAAGTTAATTAAAGTTGACAATTTTGTTTAATTTATGTTGCCAACAATGATATTAAGTTGAACACAACAATCCCAGTTTTTAGATCAGGAATTGAATACTTTTGCCCTTATTGTATACATTAGCATGTTTATTTTATCAGGAATGGATTTTATGAGCAACGTGGAGGCATGATGTTACTCAGTCTCACTACTCTCGAGTAGTGTGAGATTGAGAGTGTGGATTATAGCAGATTTTGTTGAGAATTTTGGAGCTTCCCGAATGACTAAGGAGATTTCCCCAAGATGACTGTGAGCAGAGAAAGAGGAAGTGGCAGAAAAAGGGCCGGCAGGAAAACCGGGTATGATTAATACATCGGTGGAGAGTTAAAGCCTGAATTAGGGCAGTGGTATATCACTGGAATTGTGGACAGAAGATAAAGGTTACTGTGCAGACTGAATGGGTAACACCTGATTCTATTTCTGAATTTGGCAACCGAGGCTCTCATCGCTCATTGACAAGAGTGCGCATCCTTAGCATTCTAATCTGAAACTAGGTTTCCCTAGGAAGCTGTTCTTTCTTAGCTACCTTATTATATATTTTCATAAGACGTGAAATTCCAAAGTAGTTCTTTCGTCCCAATTTAAAAATAGTTATTTAAAATTGGCACATATAATTGTACATATTTGTGAGGTTCTAGTGTGATCTTTCAATACTTCTGTTATGATTTAGATCTAAACTTTCTCCCTCAAAGTCACATTATTCAGAGATGGGGCTTTCAAGATGTGAGGAGATCATGGGGGGCTACAGTCATCAGTAGATTCATCCACTGATGAAGTCATAACTTGATGACGTTATGGAAAGGGAAACTCAGGGGGCGGGGCCTAGTTGAAGAGACTAGGGTCATGGGGGTGGGACTGTGGGGACTCTGTCTTGTTCCTGGCCCTTCCTGTTGGCCGCTTTCTTTCTCTCTCTTTGTGCTTCCTGCTGTCATTAGGTGAGCAGCTTTCATCTAGCCAGGATATTTCTGCCGCACCGTAGGGTAACATCAATGGAAGCAGTTGGCCATGGACTAAATCCTCTGAAACCATAAGGACACAAACCTTTCCTCTTTTAAACTGTTTATATTAAGTATTTTGTCACAGCAATGATGACTAATAAAACATGTATGTGGTGTAATGATAAGATTGGTGAATTGATATATACCCATTAACTCAAGCATTTATTATTTCTTTGTGTTAGAAATACTCAAAGTTCTCTTTACTATTCTGAAGCATGAAATTAATTCTTGTGAACCATAGTTTACCCTAGGTGTGATGGAACATTCTAATCAATTCTTCTTGTGCAGATACCTTTCTGTACACATTCACTCACTTTTCTTTCCTCCTCATGAGCAACTATGTATTTTTCTCTTTTTCCTGAGGTGACTGTTTTTAGCTTCCATATATTAAGTATGAAGATATCTTTCTCTGACTGACTTATTTAACACAATATCCTTCAGTCTTATCCATGTTGCTGCAAATGACAGGATTTTGTTCTTTTTTGCAGCTCAATAATATCTCGTTATGTACATATATCACATTGTCATTATCAGTTCATCTATTGATGGGCACCTAGGGTGAATCGATATCTTGGCTATTCCAAATAGAATTTCAGTAAAGACAGGGGTGGAGATATCTCTCCGACATACCAATTTCCTTTCCTTTGCATACATATCCAGCAGTAGAATTTATTTTGTGCCAGCTTATAACTTAATATCTTAAACAACTTATTTTCCAAATCATTCCTTCCCTCCCAAGGGAGGGAATGGGAAGGAAGAGATATGTAAGGAGTAACCATCTTAATCCAGCCACTCTCTTGGTTGCAGTGCTGGTGATGGTCACAGTCATCCTGTTTGCTGTTTTTATATGACTTCTGAAGGGAAAGTATGGAGGTCTGTAGATTTACAAACCATAGCCAGACTCAGAGGCTAAGAATTCAAATGCATATCTTCCTGAGGTCAAAACTATCCTTTTTCCTGTTGATGTACTTTCCTTCCCTTACCTATCCTCAGGTGAAAATGTTTATAATGCTCATCTTTAAGAACTCAGAAATGATAGTGTGGAAGTTTTACAACTTAAATTTTTATTTCCTTTACTATCACTTTATTTCTGAGCATAACCATAATGTGAGGGCTTTTATTATAATTGCTTATGGGAAGGAACTTTATAGCAGCTCTTAAATGTCACTTGTTTGTGCTAATTTCTACATTTCCTGAAATTTGAAATTCTCATCTAGTGAATAAATGAATTAAAATAACCACTAAGGAAGTTTTCAAGTGTAGCCAGATAACAGATGGAAGTACTGGTGATAAGAGCAGATTTTGCCTGTGTCGCTACAGCTCAACAAATTAAGAATTGATAGAAGTTCTGAATGTTTGTTTTCTTGAGGATGAAATTCTTTTTCCTTTTGTTAAGTGTCCCCGAACCTGAGTCACAGGGGTTGGGTCATGAGTTCAGAGTCTGGTAGGATCCTGCTGACCACAACTGTTTAATCAGTGGGAGCTGACCTACTAGAACGTAATGCAGAGACCAGTGGATTTTTCTCTTTCCTTTGATGCGATTTTGTTACTGCAACCTTTTTTTTAACTTAAGGGGTTTCAGAGAGAGAGAGAGAGAGAGAGAGAGAGAAAGGGAGGGAGGGAGGGAGGGAGAGAGAGAAAGTGGAAGGAAGGGAAAGGGAAAGAGAAAGACAGAGAACTTTTATATTTATATTTCTGGCACTAACACTAGATTTTCCAGTTCACTATGCATTTCAGTTTATCAATCTCAAAACAGATATAGCACTTACCATTCATTACACAGTATTAATTCAATATCTACTAGATAACAATGAACAAAGCAAAGTAGACCAAAAACCAAATGATCCCTGGAACATCATATAAGTAAATTATATCTTATGTTTTTACACAGCACATATGAGCATAACATAAAGTATACATAACAACATATATGAACATAACATATGTTAGAAGGTGTTAAAAGCTTTTAAAATTATATAGATTGGTAAGACAGAGAACTAGTGTAGGCTCCAATGTTAGGGTAGTCCAAGTCAGTCTTACTGAGAAAGTGACTTCTAAGGGAAGCTTTCTTGTGATTTTGCAGTTCAAATTGCCTGCATTTAGCCATCATTTTCCTGTAGGGAATTACACATAGTTACTGCAGTTACACTGAGGTGTGTTGTCAGTGAACCAGATATTTAGAAAAGTTTGCAAGTTAATTCTCTAATGTGTATATATATATATATTTTTTTAATTTTTTTATTTTTTAAAAACTTAGGTAACTGTTTGCTCATTGTTCTTTCCATTTTTGATTCTTTTCTTTAGCTTCAAAGTTAGTCTCTCGTATAACATTTGACATTCATATATAATTTGACTTGGCGTCAAAAGTATCTTTTCTCTGTTGTCCCCCAGCTTTCCGGTTCATGCTTCCTTTTTCTCACCCAGTGTCACTTCCGTTTCCTCCTTTCATCCTCTCCAAGCTGCAAGGAGAATGAGGTAGCCAACGAGGACAGTAGTCTTCCAAAGCCTTGTTCTCCTACTTTTCTTTAAAGTTCCCTCAGAGAAGATAGAAATCTTCATTTCTGTTGGGGAGAGTAGCAACTTTTCAGCAGAGCAGATTTTTCAATGTAAGCATACCTACAGGAGCAGCTCAGGTTGCTTGCCTGTTTTTCATGGGTTGCTTTTTACAGAATTGGATATTGTTTCAACCAGGAACTTTGAAATAACCACATTCAAACAGCAGTGCAATTCTTTTTAAGAAGCCTGAACAGAGTAAATATATTTAATCAGAGATACGTATGTTTGTCATCAAATATGCTTTACCTTTAAGAATATTATATTTATATGTTAAATGCAATCACGGGAGTCACTAGAAATGATCTGACTTAAATGATGATAGGAATACTGTTTTTTTTGTTGTTGTTATTTTGTTTTTTACCAATTTTTAGATAGTTTTCCATATTTTTTTCTTCTGTTTTGTTTTTTACCAATTTTTAGATAGTTTTCCATATTTTTTTCTTCTGTTAGTTCTCCTCTCTTTTAGCTATCTATATCTTTTGCAGCCAAGTATGAAAAATAGAGTACAGCTGCTGGAGAGCAGGCATTCAGGCTAAATTTGTAAGGGGTCCCCCCACCAATAGCTGTTAATTTAGGAAGAAAATAAATTTATGCAAATTAACAGGAATTGGAGAAAGAAAGGACTCATCTGATGGAAGATGTAACTGCGAACAAAAGGAGGATGAAGGAACTAGAAGATAATTTGCTTTACCGCCTGACGAGCACTCAGGGGTCCCTGGTGGAAGATGAGAGTCTAATTGTTGTACTGAGCAACACCAAAAAGACAGCGGAAGAGGTGACACAGAAGCTGGAAATTTCTGCGGAGACAGAAATTCAAATTAACTCAGCCCGGGAGGAATACAGACCTGGTGAGTCTGGTAATGAAAGACAAATGTCACAGGAAAGTGGAGTGAGAAAGAAATGAGAATTAGACCAAGTGAATGAAGCGGGAAGTTATACAAGTGACTATGCGAAATGGAGTGGCTGGTTTGGTGTTGTGGCATCCTTTGGGAACTTCAGTCAATTTGAGATAAAAAAAATTGCATTCAGGTCTAAATTTTTAAGATGCCTGTAAGTCATGCTAGTTGGCAAATCCTTGAATGTTCTGATGAACTGATTGTTAATTAGAACGTAAAGAGGAAGAGTTTTTTTGTTAGACATCTGATCACAAACCAGTAAAATCTGAGCAATTATTGTGGCATTGGGGACTGTGCACTAGTTTATTGTTTGGTAGCCCTCTGTCAGTACCTTGTTTATAGTCTTTGTATTCAGAAGTGATTCTCTGGTCTTCATCCTCAGCCACTAATTTACAAACGGAGGTTCACTGGCTATTCAAGGAATCTACTAGAAGTGTTCAGCTGAGTATCCTTTAGTACATTATCATTCTTCCTGGAAAAAGAACGAAACAGTGTCATCTGTGGATGGCGAGTCTGGAGCATCATCTTTGCGATCTCTTGTTTTGCAAATTTGAGGCCAGTTTTAGGCACAGATTCCTCATGAGCTTCACAACAAGGTCCTAAATGGCTATTGGATGTTAAATATAAAGCACTTGAATTCCTTTGGTTGCCTTTGTACCTATAGTAAACATAATAAAATATATTTATAAGAGAGTGAAAGCTAACATTAGAACCATTTGATGAATGTAAATAGCAGAGCACTTATACAAAGCTTATACATAAGAATTAAATACATTGATACAGGAGCACTGGTGTAGATATGATTATGAGTTGGTAGCTGCAAACTCACAATATAATAGACAAAAAAATAGAAGTTGTTTTCATTCAGAGTTTAAACTGATAGTTTTGCATGGATCATTTATTTCCCTCTCTTCTAATACATGCAGCCTTGCTCTTTGTCTTTCAGTTGCTACTCGGGGCAGCATCCTCTACTTCCTCATCACTGAGATGCGCTTGGTTAATGAGATGTATCAGACTTCGCTTCGCCAGTTTCTAGGCTTGTTTGACCTTTCCTTAGCCAGGTATGCCTGTTCTCAGGAAGCCAAGCTGAATTCTTTATCTGTGGACTAGAATGATGACATTACATTTATTATTTCCTTCTTCTCGGTTAGTAAGAGTCTTTCACTTTTTGTAATCTAAGATTAGTGTAATTACCAACGTATTAACAGATTATTCTGATTTGTCATTTTATGCTCAGAGAAAGCTGTAACAGCTAGTCATCCATTGATTTGATTCCTTTAGTTTCATGTGTGTCTATTAAACAAGAAAATTCCCAAGACATCTTTGTGAGTGATAGCACCCTGTGGGTAAAGTGGATTTAGACAGCATTAAGGATTCTATGTTATTTCATGTTGAGAGAATGCTTGTAATTTTAGACTTAGGAAGCTTATGCTTGGTGTGTAAAAATAAAAATTGGTCCTCCAAAGTTAGTTATTCTTCATTAAAGACGTAGCTTTTGTAGACAATGGAAAAGGGCCATGGGGTAAGCCTGGTTTAAACGTTTTCTTTTTCAGATCTGCCAAGAGTCCAATTACAAGCAAGAGGACTGCTAATATCATTGAGCACATGACTTACGAGATTTACAAGTATGCTGCCCGTGGGCTGTATGAGGAGCACAAATTCCTCTTCACCTTGTTGCTAACCCTAAAGATTGACATCCAGAGGAACCGAGTCAAGCATGAAGAGTTTCTCACTTTTATTAAAGGTCAGTAAAAAGTCTTGTGCACAAGTGTCAGAATTACTGTGAGAGCCCTTTGTGGTATTTTTTTAGATGATAATGTTTTCTTTGCATTGCATTTAAAGTATGTGAAATATTTTATTTGCTCATTTATAGACTGGATAATAAATATTTATTGAAAATCCTACTGTGTATCTAGGCATGGAATAGGCATTTGGAACATGTCAGGGAACAAAACTCATTGTAGAATAACTCCCTCCCTCCATCTCTGTCTCTGTCTCTGTCTCTGTTTCTCTCTCTCTCTCTCTCTATATATATATGTGTGTGTGTGTGTGTGTGTGTGTGTGTGTGTGTGTGTGTATAATATATACTGTGGTAAAAGCAGAAGGAAATGGGCAATACAAAGTTAAAAGTGTGTGGGCTGGTGAATGTCTAGAGCTTTAAATGAGGAATCTAATAGGATGTCTAATAGAGTAACCTTCCTAGAGATGGCCAGGTGATCAATGATTTGAGAGAACAGAAGGCAGTGGCCACACAGCCACTTAGGATGTTGAAGGCAGGGGGACATCATAAAGGCCTCCAATGGGAGTGAATATGGCATGAGAGAGAAAAACCAGTCTGAGCAGGATCACTAGAGCAGAGTGGAATAACTCACCCCGTGGGTTATTCATGTTGCATTTGTTGCGGCACTGCTCACAGGTAGACCCACTGGGCCACTGGAACAATACAGCTAAGCGGAAGGCTGGGAGACGTAAATTATTATCATGTTCTCTAATGTGTGTAAAATATATTTCAGGTAACTGTGTCTTAGTTCAGGTTGCTACAACAAATTACCATAGATAGGTGGCTTGTAAACAACAGTATTTTTTTCCCTCACACTCATGGGGGCTGAATATCTGAGACCAGAGTGCTGAGGGCTCTCTTCCAGGTTGGATTTGGCTGACCTCTCATTGTATCTTCCTATGGCAAAGAGCAGAGCTAAAGAAGTGAGCTGTTTTGTGACTTCTGATGATAGGAATCTCGTTCAGGAGGGCTGTGTCTTCACGCCCTCTCTAATCTCACTCGTTTTCTATGAGAGACACCACCTAACACCAGGAATGAAGGGAATAGAATAATTCTTGATCATCTTGAGAATTTGTTTTGAATTATTCCTTTTTTGGCTGTTTATTCATCAAATACACTGTTACATTGATGCTATATTATCCAGGAATAGGTCCAAATATACAGTCATTCCTTGTGCCACATTGTACACTTTTGGAAAAGGCAAATACTCACAACACAGTTGCCTTCCAAACACTGAATAATGCTTTGGCCTGCAAGGAACACCCTTTCTTTTAAAAGAACAGCTTTTCTTTAGCTCACTGGTGAGTACTTTATTCTTTTCAGTTTACTGGAAAATGGGCAGTTGCCATGCAAATTGGTATGCTATTTATTAAATACAGTGCCATTGTCTTTAGATCTTTTTTGGTCCATGAGCTAAAACAATTTTTCTTTATTTTTTGAGCTAAAAAAAATTTCAATTGAAATGGCTTAATGACCACACTTAACTGCAGTAAATATACTAAGATGGATTTGGCAGGAGATAACTAATGGTGTACATGGTGTTTGGATGAAGCAGAGACTGACTTAATAAATATCTTGAATTTTTTTTTTATTACATACCATGTTCAAAGAAAGATTTTAAAGGTGGCCAGATTGACTGCTCATATCCTGTGAAGAATAATGTTTAAAACATATTTTCCCTGAACTGAAATGGATGTTATCTATTAAACACCATATTTTATCTTAAAGAACATTTCCTAATGCTTTCTTTTGCTTAAAATATGATTGTTTATACATTGAGCTTTTCTGATGTGGGCAACACTAATAGTTTTAGCGTTTCATTTATCTTATGGTGCTGTAAGAGATGAGTTATACAAGTGTTAAATTAGTGATGAGTGAAATAACAGGAATCATTACCAAATGGAAATTTTTGTTATTGTTAGATTGAGTGAACATAAGCAATTAGCATAGGGGCCCTGGGATGTGCTCAAAATGGGTGTAAAGAAGGTGTTTATTTATAGAGAAGAATCCTTCAAACGTATCTAGTGCTATTGAGATTTTTAGATAAATTCTGTATTTTAAGTTACCTTGTACCAATATTGGGCCACTCGCAGTACTGACAATAACTGCCTGTTTGGTGACCATTTGCCACGTCCTCAACCCTGTGTGAGGGTGCTTTAACCATTTACACCATGACACCCAGGCTCCACTAGCCCCATTTTACAGGCTTAGAAGTATAGGCTCAGACAGATGAGATGGCTTGTCCCAGACATCAGTCAGGTGGAGCAAGGATAGAATCCTGCACCTGCCTGTTTCCAGAGCTATATCACTAATTATTTAATGTTTTTCTAAAATCATCTATTCATTTATTGAATTTTGAGGCACAGTCTTTACTGGATTCATATTTCTGTGCTTAACACATGCTAAGGTACTAAAACAATTTAAACACTTTTAAAAAAATTTACCAAATGGATTGTTTTAGAGTAAAGAGAGAAAAATCTGGTAACTTTTAATGTTTAATTTCAAAGGTGGTGCTTCATTGGATCTTAAAGCCTGTCCTCCTAAACCAGCAAAATGGATCCTGGATATGACTTGGCTGAATTTGGTAGAACTTAATAAACTCAGGCAGTTTTCAGATGTCCTTGATCAGGTAACATGTTCTTTGAATAAACTTAAGTAAATGTCGCAGTAAACAGCTTTCTTATTTATTACTAGCAATAATATGTGTGGAGGAGAGACACTTCTCAACATTGTAACTCTTAAATGGTATTGCCTGGGCTTGACCTTCCTCGTAGCTCCCCTACTCTCTGATTAAGCATCCTGTACGCTGCAGACTGGTCTTTCAGGAAGAGTTGCGCCCAGGAAGTTTACCTAGTGCTGTTTTGGGCCACATGTCTGTATCATCAATTGAAATCCATAATTAGAAAAACTGATACATTCAATCTGGTTAGATAACTGTATGATTCAAAAATCTTCGTAATAATTAGATGACAATAAATACGAACAACTTCCCTGTAATACAAAGGTTCATTTCTTGCCTTTTTTCTCTCCTTTCTTCCTCTCTTGCTCTTCCCATTACACTGCCTTCATTAGGCATTTGGGTATGAACCTCTGCAGATACTTGACATCTCATCTTTAAAAGTTATCGTCCTTCCAGAGTCATTCAGATCCTGATGAACTGTAGAGGTGTTGGAAGGTTCTTGGCTATCAGGTGACTGTAAAGAAGTGAGATTGACAGCTAAAAAAATTGAAGCATTTTTTTTAAAATTAAAAAAGTGTCCTAATATTCTTGACTTTCCCATTTAAGGTGACCAGATGCTTAGTTCTGCTATATGTTATGTTTTCCTTTAAAACTTGTGATAATTGTTATTACTACCATGAAATTGGGGTGAAAACCATTCTTTTGGGTCAAATAACGTTACTTTTGGAAATAATGATGCCCTGTAGTTTATTCCACCATGTGATGACCCCAGTATGATTTCCTGGAAGACAGTCTGTTATTGAAATTGCTGCCTTCTGGAGAATGTATAACACACCCAAAATCTTTCCATATTTTATATATATATATATAAGCATATATAATATATATAAAAATATACATTTATATATAAATATATATAAATATATAATATATAGTCTTTTATGACTGAAATAGGTCATTATTTTTATTACATAGTAATTTATAAATATGAACATGGAATGATTTTTCTTTTGATTAGACCACAACAAATAAACTTGAGGCTTCAATCAAAAGAATACCCCAGAGAACATGAGATTGTATTTATCTGTAGATGTTGTTTGTTCAATGCTTTTGATATGCTTGCCTTTGTAAAGCTTGTATTTCTTTGATTTCTGAGGTCCAGAAGATAATGCACTGTGTCCTTTTATTCATTAGCAATTGCCTGCAGGTAGCAGGTGTCTGATCATTTGTTTGATAATAGTATTACTTGGCATATCTCAGATTACTCTAAGTTAATAGAGTCTTGACCAAAAACATGTTTATTCAATGAAAACGTGTATTAAGTGCCTTCCTCTTTATCAGGAGTGGTCTGAGCAATGAAGAAACAGGAGTGAATAAGGTTTGCTTCTTAATCACGAGAGAATTTTGTGGGGCAAATCAGACTTTGTTGAAATAAGGAAAATGAGTCTCCATTTATCTATTTATTTGTTATACATTTGTTACCATAAAGACATAGAGGAAGTCAAACATCCCAGGACAGTCCCTGCTTTGGAACAGGAGGCTGGTGTTAATACAGATTGACTGTGGAACAAGCCATGTTTGATTTTAGACTATGAGACGTTTTGGCATTAGAATATGAAATAAAAATGTGCTGAAAAGATACAGTTTGCACATGTCTTAAGTGGTCAGAAGGTTTGCTGAATAGTATCTGTGCATTATTACTGAAAGACTTTTATGTGGTGTGACACATCTCTTATCCCATGCTATTTTCAGATATCAAGAAATGAGAAAATGTGGAAAATTTGGTTTGATAAAGAGAACCCCGAGGAGGAACCTCTTCCAAATGCTTATGATAAATCTCTTGACTGCTTCCGACGTCTTCTTCTTATTAGATCCTGGTGTCCTGACAGAACCATTGTGCAGGTAAAACGCATGCATTGAGTGGAAACATAGGAGACTGTTTTGAGGGAGAATTTCCCTTTAAATTTAAAGAAATATTTAAAGTATCATCACCAATGAGAATTTCCCTGTAGGTTGCTATGTAATTTGCTAGCAAGACAAATGTGAAAAATGGAAAAGTAAATAACAGATAAATTAGTGGGATATACATTAGGCTAAGTGATTTATTAAGCTCCTTTGGTCCAAGTGGGGCAACACAAAATAAATGAGAAAACCATGATTCTAAGCTTGGCATGTGAGGTGTAACATAAAGGTAATGTATTGTTCTCGTGTATCATTTTATAATAACTCAAAATGATCCTGCCTCTCTGCTTTGCTAGTAGTAAATTAGTGCTTTTTTAAGCAAGAAGAATGTAGAGGAAGGAGGGGGGAAGCAATGTAGAGGGAGGGGCAGCATGCCCCAGCCCCAAGTTATTTCCCCTTCAAAATGTCATTGCTCTAGATATAAGTAAATAGGTTGTCCTAAAACTTCTTGGAGTTTATATGTGAATTTTGCCTGCAAAAGATTCTTTGCAAGAGCATCAGTCTGTTAGCTAAAGTCATAGAGGTTTACCCACTAACAAGACTTGAATCTTGCTTTCACAATTAAAAGGCTAACTCCTTAAGGGCTTCTCAGGCAAAACCATGGAGTACCATAGGCTAGTATCTATAATAGAATGCAGGGCAGGTTCCCTTTCTTTCTCCAGAGGGAGTGTTAAAAACATATGAAGTAACCGCTTCCGAGTCCACCTGGGTGCCACGGAATCATGAAAACAACTAAATAGAATGATTTATTGAGAAGAGAAAAATGAGTTTTGCTCCTCAGGGCACTGAGGTAACCTTTCCTTTCAGTTTTTCTTTTGTCTCCTTCATTACTTTTATTCTGCCCAAATGAATTGTCAAACAGTTGCCTTATTTCTTCAGAAAGTATAGAAGGGATGTTTCATATAAAGCAATGCTTTCTTTGTTTTATTGTTTGTTTCTTTTTTTATGTTCATTTCCTTCCTTCCTTCCTTCCTTCCTTCCTTCCTTCCTTCCTTCCTTCCTTCCTTCCTTCCTCCTTTCCTTCTTTCTAACTTTATGAGATTCAGTGATGAAATATAAATCTAAAAAGCTTTGTAACATTGCCTTTTTCATCTTGGCTCTGTTATCCCTAGGCTGACCACAAGCATGGCTTCCTGCCTGGAAACCTATTGTTCTTTTGTGTCTACTCTGGCACATTCTGTACATCCTAGAAGAAATGAAAAGAAACTGTGATTTCTCAGAATTTTCGAGTCCTTCAGTGGCTTCCCATGTTCCTTATGATAATACTCAAGTACAAAACAAGGTCTACAGGTCCCTCTGGAAATATACTATGTTCTCTGATGTTTTTATTCTCACTTTAGAGCCCTCTTGTGAGTTCTTCCCAGACAGCTTCTTGGGAAGCATACTAGAAGGGCTCTAGCTTAAATACAGTCAATCCCTATTCCCCCATAAGCAGCATCAGGCCATGCATGACTGCTTCTGTGCATTTTTGCTGAGCACGACTGTTCACATCAGAGAGCATTCAGTGGCCTGGTTGCAAGAATTATGCACAGTCGGAAGGTGTCTCATGCTATATGCACCCTGGTATCTCAACAATATTCCACAAAGGGAGGTCAGTACATGTGACCACAAGTACATGTGGCTTGTTCAGTTTATCTTCTACTCAAAGGTTGTGTTTGCTTTATTAGGACCAGATATGCTGGAACAAAATGTTCTTCAGATTTTGGTGCACTTTAAGAATGGGGCACTGCATTTCCATTGGTGCCAGTGTGCTATTATTTTGTTATTGAACTGGTGTTTGTACAGAGGCCTGGTTGGCCCATGCTGAATCAGCTCTTAGACGAAGTGTATCACATATCTTTTCTTTCCCGGTCAATGATTTGCTCTTTTCTGCTCCAAAATTTCTGCACATGTGTCTTTTGCAAGGAATGATCACCACTGTGACCCGCCCAGCTCTCCTCTTTTCCGAGGTAAATGCCTCTCAGCATCCAAGCAGCTGCTTAAGTGTTCCTTTCAGAAACGAGTCTTCTCTGATATACTCCTGCAAAACTACTTCTTTACTTTCATATCATCTTTCAGGCCGTAAAATAAGTTTATTTACTATTACTTGCTCAAGGTATGACTAATTCCAGGAAGGAGCTACGAAAGGCAGGTTTATTTGTTTACTGCTGTGTGCCAAAGGCCTGTCACTCTTCCTTGGATAGAGGAAGAGGTTGTGGTCAAAGTTTCATATCTATAATATCACAGGAATTTCTTGCAATGCAAAGACCCTGGAATGCAGGGATTTATGGTCCCCTGGCCCATTGAGAAAATTCATGGTATTGGATTAAAGTTGAAGGAAAAAAGATAAAGGAATTTACTCTTTCTTCCACATGTGTACTGTGGTTTCAGATCTCTGTCTTCTGTGTCAGAGGCTAATCAGGAATTGTGGAATATTCTTATGAATTACGCATTTGCATCATGGAGTCATTGCAACCCTAGATTTGGAGCTAATTAGAATCTGACTGTGACCCAAGAACATCTGAAAATGTTTCTTTTTTTAGGAATAGGAATTTTACTCACAAAATTCAGTCTTAATTTCCATTATAAGCAAAATAGTCTTCCCCATCATCTATTCTCAGAGTTGGTAAGCTAGGGCTCACCAGCAAAAATGGATCCACTGTCTATGTCCAACTTGTGAACTAACAGTAGTTTTCATATTTTTGTGGTGTTGGGGATTGAAGCCAGGGCCTTGTGCATGCAAGGCTAAAGCTCTACCATGCAACCACATCCCCAGTCCAGTTTTCCTATTTTAAATAACTCAAAAATCATAAAGATGAATAACACTTTGTGATATCTGAAAACTACAGAGCATCCAAATCTCAGTGTCTATAAAGTTTTTATGGTTTTATTTTATTTTAATAGACAGATACTCATAAATGTTTATGGGATAAAATATGATGCTTCATTATGCATATACATTGTGGAATGATCAAACCAAACTATGAAGTTTATTGGAATGTATCCATGCCTATCAGTTTATGCATTGTCCCTGCTTTTGTGGTTTAATGGTAGGGATGAATCATTTCAACAGAGACTATCTGGCCAGGAAAGCCTAAATAATGGACCATGTGGCCCTTGATATATTCTAGCATGTTAACTCATGGTTTGGATGGTAATGTTCATGTTGAGTCAATGCTGAGTTGTATGGTGGTATGGAGCATGTTTGCTCCTCACCGTCCTGGAAGAGAAAGCATTTGAATCTTGATGAGGTCCAGTATGGAGGTGCTGCAAGGCTGGCAGCTAATTGAGGCTGAGAAACAGCTGCCACTGTGGAGTGCCTGGGTATCCAGCCTTCTACTTCCTTCCTAATCGCAGAGCCCAGTGCTTCAGGGAATAATTGTATGTGTAAATAGAGTAGACCTCTGAGAAAGTCAAAACATGTCAGGCAAACTTTTAAAGAACCTATCAGAAGGATGCAGAGAAATGTGTGAGCACCTAGGCCCAGGTTAGAGACTTGAGAGTAGATCTTGCCAATCTAGAAATAAGTATGAGAGGTATGAAAATAATTGGTACTTCTATCATTGCCACTGCCTTACCCCTGCAAATGAGGGCCCTGATCAGCCCTTCCTGGGTCACTGGGAATTCAGCTGGGCCACCTTTCCCCAGAGTCATCTAGAGATAGTTGATAGGGCAAGAAAATCTGTCTACTTTTGATGGACTGGAAATTATGGGGAGGGAATGGGACTTGAGAAGGCAATGGAAGGATGGTTTTCACAGCAAAATGTCCCAGCCTTTTCTGAATTAGTCACTACAAATTTAGAGAACAGAAGAGCTACTTTTTTAATTTTTCATATTCTCATGGGTAATATGGGCATTTCACAGCAGACTCTTAAAAGAAACCATTGGAGCTGGGCATGGTGTCATATGCATGTAATCCTAGCACTTAGAAGGCTGAGGCAGGAGAGTTGCCATGAGTTTGAGGCCAGCCTGGGATATATAGTGATTTCAAAACCATCATGAACTACATAGCAAGACCCTGTCTCAACAAAAAAAAAAACAATTAAAAGAAACATTTTCTGTCTCCTGTGAATAATAAAGTGTTTTGGGAGTGTCCATAGATCAGGAGGAATCAGGAAGTAGAACCTCTCTGCACATTGAGCAGTTTAAATTCAGTTGCAACTAATTTCCCTTTTTTAGCAAGGTGTCAGAGGTATTGGGAGGCCAGGAGATTCATTTTGTAATGGTCACTACCCTCCATTCTAACCTATAAAGGGAATAAACATGAGTGAGGGACATTACAGCAAATGTAAGTGTGGAGATTTGAATTCTGACAGTCATTTAAATGGTAAGTAGGAAGATATTAAAGAAGAAGGAAGAGCCTATATTACTATTTGAAACAAACGCTGGATACCTTTAAGCTAAAGATAATAGTTTAGCCAGCCTTACTTCCCTTTGGGTGCTGGTCTGTCTGAAAGCTCTTTGATTGAAGGGAAGCTCCCCTTGAAGCTTTTTTATATTTTTCTAGATATGAGGATGGGGAGCTGACTACATACCTGACTTGGGAGAGGTTGCAATTGGTTTTGCACCAGTAGCTAGACTCTGTTTGCTTTGTGAAATGATTAGTCTGAGGAATACCGCTGAGAAGAGAATCTTAAGTTCTGTTCACTTGATTGGAAAAAAACATTACAATTGGAGGAAAATTATCTTTGGTGAATCCAGTTATTCTTGAGGGAGAAAATGGAAACTAAGGGTCATACTCAGAATTCTATGTTTTGAAAAATAAAATTGTCTTTTTATCTTATTTGAAAAAGGATTATATTGTTACTGGAATTTTTTGTGGTAAATAATAAAGTTGACAAAGTCTGTGATCTTGTGAGCATGGCTTTCATTCAAAACAAAGTTGACAGTAGAAAGAGATGGACCAAAAATGGAAAGGGATGGTAACCATGATGAGGAGAAGATTATGGATTAAAACTGTGAACTTTCATCCATCTTATTCAGTAAATGTCTAACAAAGTATTCAATTGTAGATATTTGATAATTATCTACTCAGTAAGTACCCATTGTGCTGGTTACTTGATTATTTAAATACATATATTTGTATTAAAGCTTCCTAAAGAAAAAGTTTTTATTTGTTAAGGATAGCAAAGAGCAATCACTATACGAAAAAGGCTCCTGAGAGTCACCCAACTTGGAATCCAAACTTTTAACTATGATTTTGTGCTTGGCAAGTAACACAGGCTCTCCACCCGTAGAACAGGATTGTACACAAGCAGCAAGCAAACAGGAAAAGTAATGATCTGCCCTGTTTCCTGGCGGGATTACTATGGATGTCTTTGAGATATTGAGAAAAAGTGAATTTTGGAAACCATACTGCTTGAGGACTTGAGGGAGTTGCATGAACTGTTTTTGTTGAATTCTCTACTGTTTTTGGCAGGCCCGCAAGTACATCATGGACTCTATGGGAGAAAAATATGCAGAAGGAGTTGTTCTGGACTTGGAAAAGACATGGGAGGAATCTGACCCACGGACACCACTCATCTGTCTCCTGTCTATGGGCTCAGACCCCACGGACTCCATCATTGCCTTGGGGAAGAGATTAAAAATAGAAACCGGTTATGTGTCCATGGGGCAGGGCCAGGATGTCCATGCTCGAAAGCTCTTGCAGCAGAGCATGGCAAATGTAAGACCAAATATCCAGTTCTAAAATCACTGCAGAATTGTGATGTGAACATCTGGATGATTTTACTAAAAATATTCCATAGACTAGGTATTGGGAAAATTGTTACTGCATGAGTACAAATTTGACTCTGGTTGCTTTACACAAAGTCTGTTCTTATACTCACAGAGTAACTTGTTGCAAAAAAAAATGGCTGACTGTTCTCTAAGGCTTTTGTTTTTGGAGTGGTCAGGTTCCCAGAGAAGTTTCTCCCATGGTCTAGAGAGTTCATTTCTGCCAGTAGTAATCTGAGAATTCAGGGGGAGAAGGAAGTACTCTAACAGGTCTCAAAATTCAGTGGGTAAATTTTCTTCCACTTGCGGTACCTGTACTCTTAATGTATTGATTTCTGGTCCAGTGCCAGTCTTTTTTGCCTTTGAAGAAATCAACTTCCTATCTTTCATTAGGGGAAGCAGGAACCTGCCAAGAGCTAGTTCTACCTTTGTTTGTCTTCTACTTTTAGCCCTGCTTGTGCGCTTACAGAGGTCCCTACCTCTTGCCACCTGTTCTTGAATATTTGGAAAGTTATATGATATAAACCAGGTGGGCTGGGGATATAGCTCAGTGGCATAAGCACCTGCCTGGCAAGCACAAGGTCCTGAGTTTGATTCCCGGTACCAAAAGAAAAAAAAAAAAGATATAAACCAGGTGACAGCTCAGCTTTCCCTGAATGCCAGCTTAGGGTTCAGCTTTCTTGATCTTTAATATTTTTTCACTCTATCTTTATGCTTAGGGGTTTATGACTTTGGGAAAAAGGGCCTCATTGTTTTAATGGAACTTGGGGAGGGAACAGAGTTAAGTGGATGTTTTCAGTTGTCCAGTGTTGGAAGTTCTGCTTGAACCCAGGGGCTTTGCATTGAGCTACATCCCTGGCCCTCTCTTTAGTGAGACAAGATCTCACTAAATCACTAAGTTTCCCAGACTGGGCTCAAACTTGCAATCCTCTTGCATAATCTTCCCAGGTCATTTTATGTTTTACTTTAGTTATTATTATTTTAGTTATTGTTGTGAGCTCAACCATAGGTCATCACTACAGCTGGCCAGATGGTATAGTATGGGACAAATAGGTGTAGCAACAAAAACATGGTGCATCTCAGTTAAACAACACTGTATCCTAGATGAATTTAATGTTATCACGCTTCTCTGTTAAATTTTAATTACTTAGTTTCTAAAGAAAGTTGTACTGAGATCCCTGAGTGGAACACAAAATAACGTAATTTCCGCTTGCTGTTGTTGGCTTAGGGAGGATGGGCACTTTTACAGAACTGCCACCTAGGACTTGACTTCCTGGATGAATTAATGGACACAGTTACAGAAGCTGAGACTGTGCATGATGCCTTCCGCCTGTGGATGACCACCGAGGTCCATAAGCAGTTCCCCATCACACTCCTTCAGATGTCCATAAAATTTGCCAACGAGCCTCCTCAGGGCCTCCGCGCAGGACTGAAAAGGACGTATGGCGGTGAGTGGAGGAATACTTCCGAGTCTGTAGGAGAATTTTGCACAGTTTTTTCCAGAGAAATGAAGACAGAATTAGCAAATGTTTTAACCTGACAAAAGGTGACAGCCCCCTCCTACTATCCTCCATGGGGAATGTGCTCTGGCAGTACTAGCGAATCCACCTCTTGACTTCCCACATTCTGGTTTCTCATTTCCCCAGCGTCACTTGTGGATGTCTGTGCTGTTCTTCAGCTAGACACCAACCTTTCTATGTCGACGTGGTATCTTGAGTAGTATTGTCTCCTCTTCTGAGATGAAAGTCTGAATTAAAATTATGGCCTGCCTCGATGTTTTGAGTTCATTATGTGTTCTAGATGTTAGTCCTTTGTCTGAGGAACAGCTGGCCAATTTTTTTTTTTCCACATTGTAGGTGGTCTCTTCACTCTACTGGTGATTTTTTGCTGTGCAAAAACACTTTTAATAAGCTGAGATCCCAGTTGTTCTTTGTAGTATTTCCTGTGCAATTGGGGTTTTGTTCTTAAAGTCTTTGCCTATAACTACGTCTTCAAGAACTCTACCTATTCTCTCTCCCAGAAGACTTAATGTTTCTGTTTTAATATTTAGACCTTTAATCTATTTTGGTTTTAGTTTAGTGCATGGTGTGAGACATGGGTCGAGTTTTAGTCTTTGGCATGTGGAAAGTCAGTTTTTCAAGCACCATTTATTAAAGAGGCTATCTTTTTTTCTTGTGAATGTGCTTGACCCCTTTGTTTCGATAAAGCTGAGTGTGTTTGGAGTTGTTTCTGCACCTTGTAATCTATTTCCTTGATCCTCAGGTCTGTTTTCTTGCCAGTACCATGCTGATTTTATCATAGTAGCTTTGTAGGATAATTTCAAGTCAGAGATTTTGTTGCTCCATTCCTTGACTTTGTTGCCTAGGATTTTTTTTTTTTTTCTGTTCTAGGTCTCTTCTAGTTCCAAATGCATTTTAGATTGTTTTTCCAATTCTCTGAGGTATGCTATTGGTATTTTGGTTGGGACTGCATTATATCTGCATAGCAATTTTGGGAGTATGGCCATTTTCCTTATGTTGGCTGTTCCTACCCAAGAGCAAGGAATACCTTTCCATTTTATGATATCCTCTTCAATCTCCTTTTTAAAAGTACTCTAGTTTTCAATGTAAAGATCTTTTATTCCTTTGTTAGATTGATTCCTAAGTATTTTTTTTTTCATACTGTTGTTGAAGGTCTGGTTTTCCTAACTTCTCTCTCAGTGAGTTTGTTATTTTTGTACAGGAATGATATTAATTAAATAATAAATTAAGTTAAATTAAATAGTATAAAATTACATTATATATAAATATAATTATTATTTGGAGCAATATTTGGCTTATACCTGGCTTCTATATAATTTTAATTAATATTGAATCAATTACAAATATGGGCTCCAACTCTATGCTGCAAATACTAACATAATTATATTAGTGGTGTTAGCTAAAGTAATGATAATTATCTTTATTAACTGCCTTTGTTCCCTATTTTATACTATCTTGCTAAATAGGCAGGAACTTAATCCATGTAAGGCCCCTTCCCAATCATTTTGAAGCTTCTTTAAAAAGAAATGGTCTTTAGATACCCATTTTTTTTTTTTTTTAGTTTTTCTGAGTACAGTTTGCAGTGTACATAAGCTTAACTATCACAAAGTATCTCTTATATGAAAAAGTCTATCTATCTATCTATCTATATATATATACATAAAGTTCAAAATAAAGGGCAGATTGTAGGAAAAGAGAGAGACGCAAAAAAGGTATTGTAGTCAAGTGTGGACTGTGTCTGTAAAAGTGTACCTTGACCTAGTGCAGTTGTCTTACAGGTTTTATTCTGTGGGCTGTTAGTCTGGTTTTCAGTCTGTAAGCATGGCTACCCAAATCTTTATTTTTTTTAGTTTAAAAAGAGAAAAAAAACACCAATAAAAAATGATACAAAATTTCAAAACAAGATTGTAGGAAATTAACAATAGTAATTATGTTGCATTTTGTTAGCTTTAAAATAGTTGCTCAGATTACCAGATCTAGGCATGCAAAATTGATCAAACAATATAAACACTAACTGTTCCTTTCAACGAACTGATAGAAATTAGCAGCACACTTATCTTAGTTATCGTGTGTGTGTGTGTGTGTGTGTATATATACATATACATTTAATTTCCCCTTCTTTTCTCCTTTCCCCCATCCCAGTTGTGACTGTAATAAAAGTAATTCAAAATAAGTGTAGTTTTATAACAGGGATTTGTGAAATGAATTACTTGTAGAAGAAATAGGAAATAAAGGCATTTGAGAGATGATGGGCTCTTCCTCCCGACTGACCACACAGGCGTGAGCCAGGACCTGCTGGAGGTGAGCGGTGGGGTGCAGTGGAAGCCCATGCTGTACGCCGTGGCTTTCCTTCACTCTGTGGTCCAGGAGCGGCGCAAGTTTGGTCCCCTGGGGTGGAATATTCCCTATGAATTTAATCAGGCGGACTTCAACGCCACCGTGCAGTTCATCCAAAACCACTTAGATGACATGGATATCAAAAAGGTACGTGTGTTTGCTGCCTTACGTCACTGGGCATCCTGGGATGAGTGGTCAGACTCACATGAGTGCCCAGCTTCCGGGGGAATTGTGAACATCTGATAGACATGTAGGGTCATCTTTCGGTCATAGCAGCTTAGATCATACTTCCTTTTGATCTCAGGGCAAAAATGGAGAAGTTTTGATTTATCATTTTATTTCTCAAAGGCAAGATGACATCCTATGTAGGACAACCCGATAAGACCTGTTTCAAGGATGGAGGGTTTGGATTAGTGTGGCGAGTACTGTTTCTTAAATTCCTAAAAATATAAATGTGAGAATCCAGATCATTTTTGAAATGTATGATTTTTAAAATACCTGCTTTGATATTCTCAGAAAACAAAGTTCTATTATTAATATTAAAGTATGAAAACACCTAGATCCACGAAGACAACCTACATCAGATCATGAACGTGAGCTTTGAGTATCTGTTTGTGTTTGCCTGTTTAATTTTCCTTCTGCACTTTCTGTTTGCATTACTGATGAAGAACAGCTGACTGACTGACACATGATAATCAGAACGTGGATGTTACATGGCAGGGAAAATAAGGGCAAGATAGTGGCTAGATCCACATAATAGTTCTGTGCATGTTCCCAGGGCATCTCCTGGACCACTGTCCGCTACATGATTGGCGAGATTCAGTATGGAGGTAGAGTTACTGATGACTATGACAAGAGGTTGTTGAACACATTTGCCAAGGTTTGGTTTGGTGAGAACATGTTTGGACCTGATTTCAGCTTTTACCATGGATACCACATTCCAAAATGCACCACGGTGGATAGCTATCTTCAATATATCCAGGTTTGTCAGCTTCAGAATTTATTGTGTAGAACAAATATTTGCAACCTTTTGACCTTTTTGAGATTTGTTTAACCTATCTATATTGGTTTAAAGATAAATTTTAATGGAGAGTTGTACAAAAACTTCTGCTGTAAATATATTCTTCATATTTTTAAATTCACTTGTTGATTACAATGTTTATCTTTGTTTTAAATGTGTATTTTGTATGGATTCCTTTCGTACCTCTCTTTTCTTTTAATGCCTTGGTGAGGAAATTTCTTTGGGGAAAGAATGGATGTGTAGAGTATACTAGGAATTTTATTATACAAGTCATCTGGGGCTCCCATCCATAAGAATTTAGCTACTATAGCCACAGGACAAAGGCAGCTTCTAGAATCAGTCTGTTCTATTTCCCAGACCACTGGACTAATCCTCCAATATCTACCCCTTAATCCTGGCCAAATGGGCAGCATTTAGATACAACTTCCAGGAAGAGTGCTTTGTATAGTAGTGTCATTTAAGGTAGGGTTCCTTAATTTAGACACTGTTGACAGATTATTTGTCATTTGGTACTTTTGTGTGTGTACGTGTGCGTGCACGTGCACATGCGTGTGCACCAACATCCCCAGGCTTACCCCCTAGATACTGGTAGCACTTTCCACTCAGTTTTAAGAATCAACTGTATCCAAATATTGCCAAGTGAACACTGGTGAGCAAAATTGTTCTTGAGGAGCGTAGCTCTAAGAAGGAATAAGGTAGATCTTGACAGGAAACATGAGAATACATAGAGGGAAAATCTGATTTCAAGGTAACTACATTATTTTCTCTATACCTTGAACTCATTAGATCACGATTTAGCAGTCTCTTTGGCCTCTATCAATGATTAATCTCAGACTCAACAAACTAAGGCCCCACAGCTCCAAAGGGCTAAATTTATCAGTACATATAAAGGGTTTTTTGATATATAAGTATAATGAATTTATCGTATATTACCACTTGTGCACTTTCATTAATTCATATCAGCTAATATATTCATCCTACTGTACTGCATGTATTCTTAAATCATGAGTAGTGAATAGGAAAAGTGCCTGAGAAGATATAAATTTAGGGATGCCTGTACACTTTTTAATATATGCTCCATTTCACAGTGAAGTTGAGGTAGCTCATTAGAAGATATTATATAACAAGAAATAAAATAAAGGAGAGAAGTGAGGGAAAGCATGAACAAGACAATAATGAAGTTAAGGAAAAGACTTATGCGTAGAAATCTATATCAAATGGGAAGTAAATTTGCTTTTTTCCAATGACAGAGGAAGTTTGTTTCCTGTTTGTTGTGCTTCTGATTGTCTCTGGCTCTCCATCTCTTTGTTTTTCTCCCTGTCCCTGTTACTCTGTCACTATTTCTCTTTTTTCTTAGTCTCCCTGGAAAAGTACAACTTCCACCTGTGGTTTTATTTGAGCTATGCTTGCTAAAGTTCTCATATTCTGGTGTCTTATAAACATAATAACTGTGAATTGTGCAACATTTATTTAAACTGGGTTGAACCAGATTATCAGAAAACAAAACACCAGCTCATGCTTCTGGTTCCTTTTCTATCTCATGTATTACATATATAATGACAGTATCTTTAATTAAGTTTGGTTTGAGGTACAGACCTCAGTGATCTATGACTCTATTTTATGTTTCTTGGTGTGAACTTTCAGAACAAAGTTTGATTATTTTCTGGAGAAATTATAGAAGTTGGTAGTCTGACGCTAGACACAGAAATGCTTATCCTAATAAAAGCACACCTCCTAAAGTAGTAATTTTTAGTTTCTTATGTTGTTCTTTAACTGGTACATAGGTTGGCAATCTGTGCTTACCTGGCTGTCTGTTGTTTAGAGCTTGCCCACCTATGACAGCCCCGAGGTGTTCGGGCTGCACCCCAATGCCGACATCACCTACCAAAGCAAGCTGGCCAAGGACGTGCTGGACACCATCCTGGGTATCCAGCCTAAGGACAGCTCTGGAGGAGGAGAGGAGACCCGCGAGGCTGTGGTGGCCCGGCTGGCTGACGATATGCTGGAGAAGCTGCCCCCAGACTACAGCCCATTTGATGTGAGCTGATAAAGTCCTGAGACCATGTCAGCTCTGGATGTGCCTGATTGTGGGGAAGTCGAGAAAGGGAAGGAGGGGGAAAAATTATTTTTCTGAACTTTTTCAGAAATGCGAAAAAATTGAAAAGCAAATTTCCTAAAGTTTTAAAAATACATAATATAATCATTTCAAAACAGAAAATGAAGAACCGCGATGAGAGTGCTAATATTCATTATTAAATTAAAAACCTATGCTGATGGGTTTAAGCCGCTGTTCTAAAATCATTCCTGCTGGTATTTCCTATTGTCATTTGTTAAAAGTAATGCATTCTTGAAATAAAACACTTGAATATATGTATATATATTCAATATAATACATATACATTATTTACATATGACATAGTTTATTGTACACTTTAAAGTTTTGGCCTTCTTAATTTCCAGGAGCTTACATTATTTATATCATCTCTTTGCAGGTTCTTCATTTTGCTAGTTTTCAAATTTGATATTTTTAGCCTGTGTTAATGACTTCTAAGCAGGTCTATAATTGTGAAAGTTAATTTTGAGACATTTTAGCATTGTGAAAATATTTAATCTGATAATATTTTTTAAAAATCCATAAAAAAATATAAATCGCCTATAGTGTCCAGGTAGCCTTCAGCTTACTCATTGTGGATTAAAGGCATGATGCTTTTAGCTCACAGCTACTGGATCTTTGGTATGTTTTCCTTTTCACTGACTTTAAAAGTAATTCTACCTTTGTTTCCTCAGTATCCTATTTTTTGTTAAGCAGGTGACTTTTACTGCTAGTACTGTAGACTCAACTCAAGGACCTGCTGTCAAGGGAATAATTTCCCTGGAAGAGTTTCTGATCTTTTGCTTGCAGAAAATCAATACTGTTATCATCTGTCATAAGCACTCTATTACAGGATCAGGAGAGAGGTCATTTACATCTATCAGAAGTTGAAATATTTATGAAACAATTAAAATATCTAAAAATAGACAAGTAATTATCTAACCAGGCATGTTAAGTAGGTTTAGAAGAGTTGTCCGCCTTCTGCTGAATTTGTCAGTGCCACTGTAGGGTAAAGCAGCTCAGCCTAGCACAATATTTGCCATATAAAAATTCTCAATGTGTGTATGATGGACGTGGTTCGCTGCCTAGTTTTTTGAGGCAGGCAGGAAAAGGAGTGTGTACACACGTTTGCTTGTGTGTGTCCATGCATGTGCTTAAAAGAGCTCAGAATGGCAGTCAATGAGTACTTCTCTGTAAGTGCATTTGCAGTTTGAAAGACTGCATAGTTGTGGTACTGCATTTCACTCTTTGTCTTTGAAGGAATGACTGCCTGTTTTTCTTTATTTTGGTTCTAGTATGAAAATTCAAACCTCACCTGAGATTTATTTATTTCTCCTCCCTTTCTCCACCGTCAAAAAGACTAAGAGCTTATTATTTATGAGATTGTAAAAATTGGGGCTTGTTTAGAAGCCCTAGAGCACCGGCTGCTTAAATTCATAGAAGCTGTCTTAATTTTTAATGCATGTGTTGAATGTGGCAGGTGAAAGAGAGGCTGCAGAAGATGGGGCCATTCCAGCCGATGAACATCTTCCTCAGGCAGGAGATAGACAGAATGCAGAGTGTGCTGAGCCTTGTCCGCAGCACACTGACTGAGCTGAAACTTGCGATCGATGGCACCATCATCATGAGCGAAAATCTGCGAGATGCACTGGATTGCATGTTTGATGCCAGAATCCCTGCTCGTTGGAGAAAAGTGCGTGTAGATCTGCTCTTCTTCTGCGCTAATCACTCGCTGTTGTGAATTATTATAGTTGGCAAGTGGAAAGCACCAAAGATTAGTTTACTTAAAATGGTCCTTTTGCTCTCTAACTAATCCTTTCAGAGCCCTGTAAAGGCTGAAGGTAAGAAAGGAAATTATTTAGCATATCCACATATCAGGTGCTCTATGAGGCAATTTACATGCGTTATTTCAATGAAATTTTGCATTTTATCGCCCTTACGTTGTAGAAGCAGGTGAAAAAATGTTAAGTTTTCTCCCCCAGATCGCATTTCTGTGAAGTACAAGAATCAGAATTTAAAACTCCAAACTCTTCAGTGCCAAAGAATTGATGTTAAAGAAGGAAATGCACCACACATATGTAAATGTTAAAAGTTGTACCAAAGAGAAAAAGATTTCTCTCTCATCTGTTTATCATCTATCTATCTCTATCATCTATTATTTATTTGTCATGTATCTATCATCTAGTGCATGGTGTCTATCTCAAAATAAGGTAGTTCAGCAGTATTCTTACTGCCTGTTGGTAATTTTTGCTGAAGACATGTGGTTTTCAAGAATAATTTTCCACTTGGAAAAGTAAAATGAGTTTCTGAGTGTCTTTGTGAGAAGTAAATTGAGTATAGGTGAAACCTCAGTGGTATCCTTCTCTCTGTGCTGTGTTTATGGGCGTGTACACTGAGTGCACACCCATTTTGTGAGGAGATGTAAGTGAAACTACTAAGGCTCATTATCGTTGAGAAAATGTATAGCAACAGAGTAGAAGATGCTTCTGTCACCTATCTGTATTTCCTGGGAAAAATCTGGATAGACACATGGCTTCCTTTCCATTTGCCCCAGCCATCATCTGAGGTGATCGTAGGTCCACAGAATGGGCCCTGCAGGAACCGACCAGGACTTACTCTCCCGATCTCCACACTCAAGATTTTGTCTTTTCAGCTCCACTGTGTAATGCATATGCTCTTATCATACCTAAATTCTGGAAGGAAGAAAGTGGAGTAAAGCAAGGTATAAGGTGATAGCTTTCACCTCTTTGCAGCTTCAAGTTATGAATGTAAAGTGGAATCAGTCTACATAGTGTGTATTTCTTTGTACTGGGCTCAGCTGCCTGGGAACAGGGCTGGGAGAGGTGCAATGCTGAGAATGTTTCTTGCCAGCCTGAGGCCAGGCAGCTGCAGTGGAAGGAGTGTTAGTGTTCTAGGGATGCCAAGCAAAGTTCCATGAACTGGGTGGCTTGAATAATAGAGATTTATTTTTTCACAGTGCTGGAGGCCCTGAGTATGAGATCAAGGTGTTAGCACGGCCATGCTTCCTTCAGAGGGAAGACAGCATGTTCTTCTCTGCTTTGACCTATCTTTGGGTGGTTCCAGGAATTCCTTAGTTTATGCCAGAATTGGTCCACTATCTGCCTGTGTCTTAACATGGTGTTCTCTCTGTGTATGTTCATGATGTCTTCTCTCTGTGCTTGTCGGTCTCTGTCCAGAGTCCCCTTTCTGTAAAGACCCTGGTCCTGTGGGATTAGAGGCCTACACTAGTTGAATTAATAAAAAATATGTTTCCAAGGAAGGTTACATTCTTAGATATTATGACTTAGGGCTTCAACATATCTTTTCTAGGCGAGGACAGTTCAACCCACACGGGAGTAACAGCTAGATTGTGGAGGCTCTTTGCAGTGGAGACATTATAAGGATGGAGGATGAAGAAAGAGGAGATAGAAGAAAATGGAATGAGGAGAAAGTGTTGGAACCAGAGTTGGAGACCACATTTAGGCCAAAGAGCTGTCTTTGATCAAGTAAATTAGAAATAGAAGTTATGGGGAATTGAATGGAGAATTTGGAAGACTAGGTGTGATGTGTATTGGATTGATTATTTTTGAGGACCAGATAATTAGCCTGCCTCTCCACCTTGATTCCAAAAGAGGCAGATCAGCAGTAGGGATTTTGCAGAACATTTTACTGATAAAGCTGATAGTGGGAAGTATGGTTTATATCTGCCAACAAGGGAGTTTCATAGAATAGGACCTAGAATTAGATAAATTTACTCACTATCAGATTTACAACTTCCCTAGAGCATGTAAGGTGCAGAACTGTGTATTCCATGCAGACATTTCAGTCCTAAAGGAAAAGAGGAAGAACTATACTTCCTAACATATCCTGCTGTCTTTGTGACTTCACTAACTGCCCGGTTCCCACAACAACGCCACTGACATACACTTTAGGAGCTGTTGTTATAGCAGCTTCTCACTTCTACAGACCCCTCACAAGTCAGGTAGGTCCTTAGCTCCCCTTAGTTACTCTTAGGCTCTGGTGGAGGCTTCCCCACCTGGGAGCTGTGCCACTTGGTGCATGTTGCCTCTCAGTTTATCACAGAGGATGGCAGAAAAGTCAGCAAGATGCATTGGGTCTAAATTTCCTGGGTCAAGAAGTGGCCCATGTCATTCCAGTGCTAGCCCATGGATCAGAACGAGAGCCTTGGTCCCGACCTATGTACGTGGAAGGTTGGGGAGTGTAGAAGGCACATGAGATGTTTATGAGCTCTTTCTGAAACACCTACCAGTTTCTTCCCCACTTTGACATGGGCAGAGGGAAGAGACAGAGGGGCCTGGAGTGTTATGTAAATGGAGCTCTCTTCTAAGGAAGGAAATAGGAGTGGGGAAAAGATACATCTCTCAACAGGGCAGTGCTTAATGATGACGAGTTTTAAAGTGTGAATATAGGAGTAGAGGAATGAAATGGAATGACCAGAAGGCTCATTAGGGATCAGAAGGCCATGAGATAAAAGACGTTAGTGGGATGTTGATATTTGCTACAATGAGGAATGGAAGTAAGAAAGTGCATATATGATTGTGAGCATGGACTCAGCTGTAGTATCTGCATTAAAATCATGTGCAATGTGGGAAAAGCTAGCTGGCTCGTTTTGCCTTGGTTTCCTTATATGTAAAATGGAAAAATAACGTTATATTATTCTTAGCATTTTTATGAAGATTAAGTGAGTTTATATATGAAAAATTCTTAGAATAGTACCTGGTATATAAACAGTGCTATGTAAGTACCACACCACTATCACCACAACCACTACTTCTGCCACCACAACCACTGTCACTATTTCTGCAGCTCTACCCCCACCACAACTGCCATCACCGTCATCACCATCACCACCGCCATCACCACTATCACCACCACCGTCACCATTATCACTGTTAGGTGTTACTTTCAGCACCTCTGCCATCATTACCACCTCTACCATCATTACCACCATCACTATCACGATCTCTGCCTCCATTACCACCACACTCACAACCACCACAATTATCACAACTATCACCACCACTACCTCGATCTTCACGACCTCTGCTGTTCTCATGACCACTGCCATCATCGTGATTGCTTGGGAGATTGAATGGGAGAGTAAACCAGGGTGAGTAAGAGGGAGTGGTCATTAGATGACAGGAGCAAAACATGGTAAGGACCGTATGTTCAGATGGCATAAGACACAGAGGAAGAGAAGGATAAAAAATGATGACTTGATGATGACAGTCAAAAAGGACAAGGACATGTGGCCCTCCGTGGCTCTGAGGGTGTGGAGTGTCAGGGAAGTGGCAGCCTACATTCTGAGAAGGCAGGGACAGGGGCAGTCTGTGCCGGGGTGAACAGACTTCACTTAAGGGAAGGAATGGAGGGAATGTCCACGGAAGAGGTGGAGGATCTTAGAGGAGTTTCCTGCTCATGGCCCTGGAGATGCTGAAGGAGAATGGACAGGCTTGGGAGAGGAGAAGGGCTAGGGCTTGGCCAGAGAGCGGATTCCCAGACAGGGCAGCAGATAGCAATGGAATTGAGGCATTGGCATTTCTGGAGGCCTGGCCTTCTGTAGGTGATTTGGGTAAACAGAATGGCAAAACATAGAAAGATTACAACTTACACTGTCTTAGAAAAGACTTGTTTAGTGTTGTGCCTCAAATACTTCCCCCAGGGCTTTGGAGCACTCCAAGGCAGTTGGCTTTTAGGCAGCCTATAGTAACAAGGCCTATTCTTGTCCTGTCCATCTTATTTGATGATTGCACTGTCTATCCCTCTAGTAACATAGCTTGGAAACAATCTCAGCCGCTACCAGATCACTTATTTCCTTCTTACCTTCAATAAATTAATTGGCAAGCCAGATGTGTTTTCTGATATGACCTTTTTATTCAGTATTCTGTTATTCTCAACTTATTATCAATCCATAGAATCCCAGTAGTTCTTGAAGCATTGTAGGTACATTAATTCTTAAGATATTTTAAACCTAAGTGGTAAGCCTACCCAAGTTGATCGCTACATTTATTCATACATGAGATATTGTAGTTGCAGTCAAATGTTATCATTTATGATTCAGAGATGCCTACCAGGCTGCTATTGATAATGTTAATGACACATCCATGCCAGTTCTCATAACGAGAATTCCACAAGTGAATTCTGGGAGGAAGTTAGAGGCGGTGAGTGCAAATAATTTCTGGACAGTAAAGAGACTGTTTCCTGTTTCTTAATGACAGGAAATATTCTTGCATTCTAAAGGGTCAGACCCTCATGAAAATAACTTGTTTACCTCATTAAAAATAAGTAGAGAAGGGTTCCTATGATTTATCATGCACAGAATATGTGTTCAATTGTTGATGTTTTGTCTTGATAGTGATATGAGCACAGTTTTGAAAATAATGTTTTACATTTATTCATTATACATTTACATTATTTATTATAAATAATGTTACACATTTTTGAAAATAATGTACCTGTTGAAATTGTAACTTAACAGTGATGGAATTCTGTTAAAAATTTCATTCCTAAATTGCTTCGATTCCTTGGGAGCTGAATTGGTGATGCATATATTGGTATGTATTGGTAGAGGAAGGTGATTCTCTTGGCATCAGCCAACTTAGACAGCTGTGTGAACACATATGATGATTTGTTGAATTCTAGTGTATCTTCATATCATTAAGGAGAAAGAACAGTTTGAAAATCCTGCAGGTCAGGGCTCCACGAAAATTCATAACCTGGGACACTTTCATTGTAGAAGTGAAATTGGTGTCTTCTCTCTTTTTTTTCCTTTCTCTGAGCATAGTCAGTTTATGCAGCAGAATAGACCTATATTAATGAATTGCTTTAATGTGTGCATTTCAGGCATCGTGGGTTTCAAGCACACTGGGGTTCTGGTTTACTGAACTTCTAGAAAGAAACTGCCAATTTACCTCCTGGGTTTTCAATGGCCGACCCCACTGCTTTTGGATGACAGGCTTTTTTAACTCTCAAGGATTTTTAACTGCAATGCGACAGGTAATAGCTCTGATTTGCACTGACTGTGCTATTGTAATTCTCCTCTTTAAGTTTTCTGTTTTCATTAGAGTTTTAAAAAATATAATAAGGTAGACAATGGCTGTCTCTTCTTGGTACTAGCAGATACATAGGCATGAACATAAATGCAACTATTTCTTCCCAGGATGCTAGCTTGAATTACAGATTACTTGTTATTTTTGTATTTGATTTAATTTCCTTATTTCTGTTCTTTTTTGGTAGGACTAATTAAGTTAGGAAGGACATGGTTATTGTGAAAGAATTTTATAAATTCTTCAAAATGGTATTCTATTGTTTCATTTAGTATAATTTGAGCTAAACTTTCATCACTGTTATTTCTCTGAAGACAAACTTCTAATTGTTCTCTTTGTTTTTGTTTTTGTTTTTGTTTTTTTTTTTTTTTTTTTTTTTTTTTTTTTTTTTTTTTTTTTGGTTTTTCTCCGGTACCGGGAACCGAACTCACGACCTTGCACTTGCCAGGCAGGCGCTTTTTGCCGCTGAGCTAAATCCCCAGCCCCTTCTAATTGTTCTCTTAATCTTTTGCTGCCCTGAATAGGAAATAACTCGGGCCAACAAAGGCTGGGCTCTGGACAATACGGTACTTTTCAACGAAGTCACCAAGTGGATGAAGGATGATATCTCCGCCCCTCCCTCGGAGGGTGTCTATGTGTATGGCTTGTATCTGGAAGGCGCCGGCTGGGACAAGAGGAACATGAGGCTCACTGAATCGAAACCCAAAGTGCTCTTTGAGTTGATGCCTGTCATAAGGATTTATGCAGAAAACAGCAGTAAGTTGTCTTGTAAATTTGGTGAAAGTTGGTGTTATTGGATTAGATGACCTTGTAAACACAGAATCCATTATTTTTATTACCATGTAATAGGGACTTTATTATTTTTATCAACTTTATATTTACACCTATGTTTAGTGAATGCCTGCTGGCCTCTGGACGTATTCTTGAGTGGTAATCAGGATAATTCCAGATACTTCTTACTTATCTGATGAAACAGTAATACATGGTACTCATGAAGGAATCAGAGATATGAGGTGTGATTGAAAAATACAGTTGATATTTAAATAAAAATTATTACACTAAAAGACACATTGTCTCGAGTCCCCTTCAAAATATTTCTCACTTTGAACACACACAGGGTATCGTTCTCACCAATTTCTGAAGTAATTCTGGAAATCCACTTTTGTGAGTGTCTTTACAAGTTGCCATAAAAAATATGGGGAATGGTGCCGTTGAATGTCGTTGAGTAGAAAGACAGGATCATGAAAACATGATGGTTGTAGCTCATCCACTTTATTCACTGGATCCAGCACTGTGAGGCTTCTGGCTCTTCCCCAAAGTCAAATTGGCAGTGAAGGATCAATGCTTTCAGTGATTCAGAACGTGAAAGCCACCACAACAGCACAACTAAACACATGCAAAGGAGGACTTCCTGAACTGCTTCAGAAATTGCCATGAACAATGGGACAGATACGTTCAAAGTGAGAGGGAATATTTCAAGGGGCATAAATGACAATATGTCTTTTACTGTAATAATTTCTTAAAAATTTAAATACCTTACTTTTTATCACAACTTATATATTATCTCTAGTGAGGTAGGAACGAGGTATTTAACATAGCTTATGTGTGAAGGGGAGGGAGGTCGGGTGACAGGGGGACCAAGAGCTCACGGCTAGGGCCACCAAGGCCTGCATGGGCTTTGAAGGATGACGTGAGCAGGTAGGTGGTGGAGAGGTTTCCCTGCTCGGATTGCACAGGGCTCACGTGCAGGTGGTGGCGCTGCCAGTTTGAAGGTTTGAGCCAGGCTGTGAAATCTAGATCCAATTCAGAGACATTTGGCTTAATTCGAATGGTAAAATGCTGGGCTCATATTTCAGCTCATGAATGTAATACTACTTCTAAGAAGCACACACGTTAATTTTGTTTTGGCAAAATTGTCGGAGTTCTATTTGACACATCTGACACTATCTGGGCTATTTTCCACGGTTGGCCTGATGTTTCGGAGGCTTTCATTACTGCGTTTCACTCAGGTAACTTCCCCTCAGCATTTTAGTGCTCCACGGATTTCACAGTCATTGTAGAATCATGAGCCATAAGTTCGAGACAGCGTGATAGTGGATCCGAAGGTAGAACTGCTTCAACGAGAGCAGAATGAGTGGTTTTTCTTTAAAGTAAAGAAATAAAATAATCCCTTTGTAAGTGGTGGTGGTATCCCTACTGCTTAGATAAAAAATAAATTTGAAGACATGAGTCAGGGGAAGAGTTTCTAGTCTATAAATATTTATTTTTAAGCAGACTTTTGCTGATTGTCTAGTATGTACAGCTATGACCTTTAGGTCCTAAGACAGAAAGATAATTCTGAACCAGATCCTGTCCACAGGGACTCACACTCCAGTGAGACAGACCAATAAATAGATAAATAATGAAAATATAATTGGATTAATAGTATAATGGAGATATACTTAAGATACTTAGGGAACTAGAAGGAAAACCAAATATGTCCGGGAGGTTAGGAAGATTGCTTTTGAGATGTGGACAAGATTCAGTGTGATTGAAGTTAGAGAAAGATTTCTCTTGGCAGAGGGAAATAGCGTTAGCTCACTTGGTCATTTAGTGACTGTTTGTCTGGCACTGACCATCTGCCAAATACTACTCTAGGGCTGGGGGTGCAACAATGGAAAAGACCAGGCAGGGTCCCGGATCTCAGTCTCAGAGTTGAAGGTGGGCTGGGTCAGAGGAGAGGGAGTGGCGTGGCCATGCAACACACAGAGACAGTCAGGTCTTGTTACTTGCAGATTCTGTGTTTGTGAATTCACCTACAAGCTAAGACTTCCCTATAATCTGCAGCGCAGTCTTTACAGTCATTCACAGACACGCATAGAGAATCAAAAAAGTTGAGATGCTTGACACACCTGTTCCCAGCTCAGGCTGGACAAGGTGACACTCTACTTTCTGATTTCCGCTCTCACACTGTAAACAAGCGCCCTTGTGGTGGGTCGTTTAATGCTACGTTTTCTGAATTTTGCTTTGCTGAAAATACTAGTTTAATGCTTAAGTGCTTTCTATTGTTTCTGAGCACAGGAAGTCTTTTGTATAACTTGTGGAAAACTATGTATGCTGAGTCAACCACTTTCAGGCGTGAGTAACAGAGCTACTGGATTTGAGTTTAGTATTGGTAAATCAACAACATATACTAAAAATGTGTCTTTAAATAGAAACACACACCATGCAAGGTTATTCATTAATTAGTTGATGAAAATGTTGTGACCACAGGCTTGCAGCAGATACCCTTGCATTTCCCCTGAGAGCACAGGTTCAGTATTTGTTAATTTGTGTTCATGGAGACTTTCTCCTATGAGTGTAGGAATCGACTGCAAGTGAGCATGCTGACTTCAGATAGTTCTGTCTTTCAGGAAGCACATTCCCTTATGCTAAAGTGTGAGATAATTTAGGAGTGTAGAGAGGACAGAACATTGAAGTGAATCTCAGCGATCAGAAGGGGCTGGGCGGGTATCCGGGAATACAGGGAGGAGTGCGGAGGCATGAAGTGGGAAGTCACGCATGCGCAGTGTTCGAGGAAGAGAAAGGGGCGCGCAGCTGGGTGATGAAGGGCAAGGGCGGGAGAGATGGAGTCGAAGAGTGCGCCCGAGGGTGGGGTGAGTGAGGACTTTGGTGTGGTGTAGGTGATGGCAGAGTTGTACATGAACATCACGAGCACATCTTTCTTTGGGAAGATGAGTTCCCACAGAAGCAAGGGTGGTGAAGAAGAGGTTCTGAGAGGGAAGGAAGCCCAGGGAAAGACTACAGGAACATTTTGGCAGATGATGAAGAGCTGAAGCAGCAAAGAAATGGAGGAGAGGACAGGAGTGAGGTAGAAATGATCAGTAGCTAGGACCTGGACAAGACTTGGGCGTCCTTTCAAGGAGATGGCTGTATTAGTCAGCTTTCCCACTGGGACAAAATCCTGACACCCACGACTGAACGAAGAGAGGTTTAATCTGGCTCATAGTTTTGGGTGCGATTGGTGGGGTTCCAAAGCAGAAATGGCCTGGTGAAAGGAAATGGCAGAGGAAAGCGATGGACCAAGGCAACAAGGAAGCAGAGAGAAAGTGAGGAGCACGGATAAGAGTCCCCCCATCCAGGTCATATCCCTAGTGACTCTTCCCTCCAGTGAGGACCCACCTCCTAACATGGGTTACTAATAACATGAGCCTATCAAAGGATTAATACACTGATGAATGTAGTACTCCCATTATCCAGTCATCTTCCAAAAATCCCACCTCTGAACACGAGATTCTTTCTTGGGGGGATTGTATGTCTAGATCAGTGGTGGTGAACCTATGGCATGCATGCTACAGTGGGATGTTGGCATCACTGAATACTCTAAAAGATTTGCCATTACTGACTAGATCATAACAAGATGGGAGGGAGAGGAATGAAAATGGTTTCAAAGTTTTTGAGTTTCTCACCTCCAACAATCCCAAGTGGGCTATGAATTGGAGTTAAGAGACCCTCCTATGTAATGCACAGCTTTCTTAAAGACAGAGGGATGGCTTCGCAAAGTTGGGAGCATTTCCGACCTGTTTTAGTGTAGCTTCTCGTGGCAATTGTGTTCCAAGTGGAGCATGTGGCACCTAGCAGTGTTCCCCACTTTCATTGAGGAAAGCTCTGCTACAGCAGCAGAAGAAAGCTGGTTCCTACACCACCACCCTGTTATATTTAAGTTTACACTATGATTGTGGAGGAACATAGCATATCAGTTATATATTTCTGATTAGAGGAGGGTGAGGTAGATAGAGGAAATTATTTGTGGTTTACAATGAGCATGCAGATTCTGGAACACAAGTCGAGGCTTGGAGAGGAAGGAGGAGCAGTGCCCTGTGGGCCATGAGCAGCATCACTGCAGCCTAGGGTCCTACAGACCCCACTTCCCAGGTCATTCCTGGACTCTGTAACACATACTAACCTGGGGGCTTCTAAGAGGTCTTAGGACCATGAATACAGGTCAATTTCTGTTTGCCTAGAGAACACTAGAGTAGGAATTGGAGAGTCATTCAGAAAGGTATGGAACTTGAACTTGGTTTTGAACAAGATGATGTGGGAGTGCCCTGGTAGACTCAGGAGAATTACTTGATGAACTCTCAATAATAACCAGAAGAACAACAAAAAATAAAAGAAAAAATTGATTTCTTTGAAATTTGTGGTATGTGCCAAACATTCTCTTACCCTTTTATGGAGACATTCTGTGTTTTTCTTAAAATGACCTTGAAAGATTGTTATTCGTATCTGTGCTTTGTCTTCACTTTAGCAGTAGGTTAAAGGCCAGGGAAATACAGTGGTTTAATCATAGTTGAACAGCTGGTAAGAACTGGAATGCCAGCTATGTTTGACTCCAGATCTTGGCTCCTTCCACTCTTACGGCTTTTTCCAAGAGTTCAGATTTGGAACTTAGGAGGCTGGGTCTGTCTAGGACGTTTGGATGTCAGCAGATTTTAGATACACACGAAGCTTCACATGAAGGAGGATGGTCAGGTAGAAGGTGGAAATGGGGAGAGAGTTAGAAAAGAGAACTGACATTTACTGAGAGGGTTTTTATAGGTGGCTTCCACACCATGTCTCATTTAATCTTTACAGCGATTTGTTAGAGAGGCTTTAACTCAGGGAGGTTGTGTAATTTGTTCAGTGGTTTGCGGATTGACCAGGGAGAGAGACCACTGTGTACAGCACGAGGGAGGAGGAGCCTGTGAAGCACAGAGCTGAGCGTCAGAGTAGGAACACGCAGGTTCTCAGCACACTTCTTAGCCCAAAGTGATACTCAGTACTTTTTCACTGAATGCAAAAGGACAAATGTCCAGCAGGGTTTAGACAAACATCCTGCCTATGGTTCTGAAGTGCTGATCCTTGGTGGGTAGGAGGATGAAAGTCCTGAGCAGTGGTTATTTTACAGACATAACAGTCAATGTTCTTTTAGTCCAAAATAATACTTTAGAAATTTTAATTTATCATATCAGTGCATCTAGTTAGCATGACGTGAAAATGTTTCCCTTATCAAATGAAAGAAAAATCTTTCTCACATTTGGATATAGGTGTTACTTTTCTTTCCTTATGACTATGAGAATAAAAATCCATGGCAATTTGATACTGAACGTCTCAGCATGGCAGTAATACAGTAATAATTTCATAATACAGGCAATTCCTCATTATTTGAGAACAGATTTTTATGGCATAGTTGTACTCATCCTGCTGAGCATTAGTCAGTAGTGATATTCAGTGCAGCAAGTAAAGGAGAAAATAAAATAAGCAAAGGAAAAATGGACTAATTTCAAAATACTAAAAAGAAAAACTTTAGGTCTTGTTTTTGGTTTCAGTACAAGTTGCTGGAAGCTTGTTTTATTGAGCAGCTTTGCTGTCAAAGAGGTGTGCACTTAGTATGGGAAACTGACATTCTTATTACCCTTTTTGTAGTGTGCATTTAATTTTGATAATTCAGTAAGGCTCTTACTGAGGTAAAGAGATGTAGTATCAGGAATGACCAAAGATATGCCAGTGCAGCATTTTAAAATTAGAACTCATGTAGTTAACAGTTTTTACATTAATATGAAAGGCAATTTCTCTCTTTAAGTAAAGTCATTATTGACATTGAGATATAGGAATGATTTTATTTACTTTCAAAAAGAAAACATCTAAGCATTTATTTTAACTCTAAAATTGAGTGATATACCCTTAAATTTTTAAATTCATGGCTCTCATTTGAACACCATGGAAAAAATGACTCAAATTGGACTAAATTTCCCAGGAGTGTTAAGTTACACACATAGAGAACAGATCCTCTGTTCACAAAGGAAACTGAACAGAGGCAGCTACGGAAAAGAGAGGTCTCTTTTCAGATTTACTATATAGACAGAGTGCAGATTCTAAATAGACTTCAGAGCTGTAGGAGGAAACAGCGACAGGAGAACTTCACTGGGACATTTAGAGGGACTTGAATCTCTGGTTGTTAAGTAGGGCATAGACAGGTCTCAGGGCCCCTGGTGCTCATTGGGTTAGTTCTTGATAGGGAAAAATGTTTATCAGAATGGCCCATGATTCAGTCTAACCCAGGTTTGTGAAGTCATAGGAACATGAGTCTGGAGAATTTGTCTTACTGAATGGTGAGTGTGTAAATATCTTCCCACATAAGTGTGTATGCATGCACATTTGTGGGAGTCTGGGGAGAGAGAGAGAGAGAGACAGAGAGAGAGACAGAGAGAGAGAGATGAAAAGGAGCAAATAATGTATCATATATTAGGAATCTACTGCACCACAGACATTGTGTGTTAAAGGGCATTCGCATATATTACCTTATTTAATCTTCACAGCAACTCTGCAAAAGTTATCATTTTCACTTTTCAGACAGGGAAATGAACATTTAGCAGTATTAGGTGATTTGCCGATGATTCCTGGTTACCAAGTGACAAAACTGGTGTCAACATCACATTTGTCTGTTGTCATGACAGACAGAGCTCTGGGAACCCTAGTGGCCATGTTCTATTTAATCTTGCAGGGAGGGGTCCTCTCAACCCTGGGGAAAGCTTGAAAATGAAGGCTAGGCTCAACCTGAGGGCTGCCCCTTGCATGATGACGTCACAAGTACGTTTTTTCTCAGGTATCTGGTGACTGAGACTCTAAGTAGGGGCACAGTTTCAAGGTTAAAAGAAATACCACATGTAAACATGAAGGTCTAGTAATTTAAATGTTTTTGTAACAGGGAGGTTAAATTAAAGAATGACTTAAAGTTACTTAGAGACACTATGTAACTTCGTTACTTTGGATACTGGAAGAAATAAATGTAATGTGTACTAATATGTAAATTTAAAAAGGTAGGGTAGATATGCTACATAGTTAGGAAATTAAATTCTCCCAGTGTGTTTTATTAAAACATTTAGGGGACTAGAATGTAGAGCTCACCAATTTTCCCAACCTCTTTTATCTTTTATCCTTTTGGAACCCTAAGGCTTTAAACATATATTCCTGATTTGTTCTACCTAGCTAGCATGCTTATTTTTCTCTTTAGAGTGATTTGTCTAAGCATGGAAACATTTGCAGATGATCTGTTTATGCGGTTATTCAGTATGTGTCAGCACTTTTACTGTGAATTTATGTTTTCAGGGGCTTCCTAATCCTGTTACAGATGAGGCTGGCTGCTGTGACTTGGCATGGGCCCCTTCAGCTCTGAAGCAATTAAAAATAAATAAAATTAGATAAATATTAGAGAATCATTTTTATCTACATATTAAAAAGAATGCTTTTAAAAACAATTCTAGTTTTCTTTTGGGATTAAAATTCAAGTAATCAGTATTTCAGAAGGTATCATTATTATAATTATCAGTAGGTTCAGATATAGGTCTCTAATAACTTCAAGATTTATGAAATAGATGTTCATCAAATTTTCAATATGAAGAACAATCAGTTATGTATTACATGCTTATCAACCCTACGATTAAAGAATTTTAAATATATCACAGTATCTGTGATTCATTGTCATTCACTTGATCAGAATTTTTCATATATAAATAATATTTCATATATATAAGATCAGTATTACTAGTGATATCTTTGCAGTAACTGAAATAAGTAACATCCAAACTTAAGAATTAGATGTTACAATATTTTAGGTTGCTTCTATTGATTAATGTTATGGGGTTAAGTAAGTATAGAGTTAAAATACTGCAAAATAGCTGTGACTTCATTGTTTTAGGACAGGATTTCTCAGTCTTGATACTGTTGACATCTTGGGTCTGGGAAATTCTTTGTTGGAGAATGTATCCTGTCTATTATAGGATGTCAACAGCATCCTTGACTTCCATACACTAAATGCCAGACAAGCTCACAGTTGTGATAGCCAGAATATCCCAGATATTAGTAAATATCTTCTAAGTGTAGAATCACCCTGATTAAAAGTGACTGCTTTACAATATTTATTTTATATTGAAAATTATGTGTGGTATTATCCTACTCAAATGTTTAACTTCTTACCATAAAATTAAATTTATAGTGGATGTACAGAAACATCTGGCACAACAGATCAAAGGTTCTACTGGGTATATAATAAGGATTTAACTTCTGATAGTGGCTTGCTTTTGTCATTTGTTAGAAAAAATATTGAGCATATTAGTTCTAGGGATAAATTCAGTAACTCTGGTGGATTAAGACTACGTTTGCAAAGTTGCTGTCTTCCTGGTTAGTTCCAGGATTGGTTCCACTAATTCACTGAAACAGTTGTTGCCTTAAATATGGTTTCATCTCAAGAGTCATGTGAGAGTCATTTATAATACTGTGTGGGCCTTCCAGAGCAGTGTAAGGACACAACCACAACTTTGGTCCTGGAAAAAACTTACATCCTGTAAGCGACTACAAAAGAAGATGCAGCTTCCTGAGATGGGTGTTTGGAGACATGCAGATAACCGTGGGCAGAGTGGATTTCACAGGAAGATAAGGAAGCCCAAACTTCCAGGCGCTTCGCAGACACTTTCCAAAACCTAAGTTTGTATTTGTACATTTTCCCCATGTGAGTTGTAGAAGTTTAAGGGCCCACAGAACAGGAGCATGGGGTTTCCAGGGCTGGAGCGATGGAGCCTGAGGGGAGACATGGGTACATAAGGAGCTCTTGGAGGATGAACACCCGAAGGTGTGTTCACTGCCTGCATGGTTGCGTAAAGTGCATCTACTCTTCTCCAAAGGGGAAACATGGAATATGAAAGAGCTGCACTGTGCCACTTGGCGCTGCTTCTCGGGCATTTATTGCTCTCTTTGTCCATGGAGAATTCACACTTGGTTTGGCTGGGGGCACCCTGTGCCTGGATGGGGATGAGATGGGGTTGAGATTTGTAAAAATAATGATGACAACGATGAGGATGGTGAGGATGATGTAATGCCCACTGGTGCTGGGTATCAGATTAAAAGCAGCAGGGTCAAACTCAGATTGTCTGGGGCCTGACCACACCCAGTGTGATGTCTGCTTCACATGCCGGGCTTGTGTGGCCTCAGCAGGAATGTTGCTCATTCTCCAAGTGTACCTCTCCACGGCATGACTTTCAGAATGCTTGATCTTGGCTCTTCATTCTCTCTGAGATGCTCAAATTAGAAATTGATCAAGTTCCTCTCTCTTGTGAATTTTCTTTTTGTAGCCCTAAAAGATCCTCGGTTTTACTCGTGCCCCATTTACAAGAAGCCAGTTCGCACAAACTTGAACTACATCGCTGCTGTCGACCTCAGGACGGCCCAGGCCCCGGAACACTGGGTGCTCCGTGGGGTGGCCCTTCTCTGTGATGTCAAGTAACAGCGCACCCCACCCAGTACTTTGGAAAATGTGAGATCTGAGTTACTACTGTCTTTATTTCTCTATGCATGCTAAACAGTGTGTAAGCCAGGTTGCTTGTGCAGTTAATGAGTAGTGTAGTTTTCCTCTAGTATTTAGTTGGGTGTTTGATCACATTTTACCTGTTTCATCATTAGTGAGCAACAACTGGGTTTGTTGAGAAGATATTTAGTGACTTAAAAGTAAAATTTACAACTTCCTAATGAAGCACAGCCTTCAAATCTGCAATAATTCATTTTCTTCTTCACTTTGAAGGTCAATTAAGTTAAGCAGATGTGTCCTTCCCTTGAAGGGGTTATTCTGTGAATGTGCTTATGGTGATAGCTACATTCGCCAGGGTAACACGATGTTAATGCAAGGTAAAGGCAAGTTTGTGCTGATTTTGCTTTTGTTGTCTTTTGGATTAAATCAGGTTGAGATTTATTTTCAAGGCTTCAAGAAACCTGTAAAGAAGATCTTTTGAAAACTGGAAGGAAATAGAAAAAGGGGTTAAGAATATAAGTAGATCATTCATATAAACCTATAGAGTGAACATATAGAATAGTGAGAAATCCCATTTATGATTAGTAGTGAGATATGAAGTGATACAGTAAAAGTAACTGAGAGAGAATTATAGTGCAGTATCTATAAAAATGATAGTTGATTTGTGAGAATTGTGATAAACCAATTATATTATTTTGAAAACCAAATAATGAAAATGTGGATTTAATACAATAAAAGATTATTTGTCAATGCCTGAATTGTAGTTGTTATTTATGGGAGGGGGCAGTAATTGCCATTAAACATTCAGAAGAAAGCATGCAAAATCAGATTTTTATCAAATAATTTAGAAAGGTATAATTCATATAATTTTGTGGCACATACCTGTTAATAAGCATGTGCAGGTCTCAGAGACTCAAAGTGCAAAAGGACACCATGGAAATGACTAGAAAATGTTAAGAATGAATTTAGCACAGAATGTGTCTGAAACAGTGATGACCTTGTGAAGCTCTTTTTTTCTTGTAATTTTTATTTTATTTATTTTTCAATTTTTTTTTGATACCAGGAATCAAACTCAAGACCTTGCACTTGCCAGGCAGGCACTGTGCCACTGAGCTTTATCCCTGGCTTCAATTTTTACATTTTTATTGGTACGTGTTTGCAGTGCATAACGATTACATTCTGCTTGGGGAAGTGGTTCCTGTACATAACATGTCTTATTCCTTTCTTTTTTATCCTCTTCCATGCTTCTCCCTTCCCTCTCCAGCTCTTTATCTCCTTCCCTTCTGCAAGACATCTATCTACTAAGGCTGGGGATATAGCTCAGTGGAACAAGCACCTGCCTAGCACCACAAGGTCCTCAGTTTGATTCCCAGTACAAAACAAAACAAAACAAAACAAAACAAAACAAACAAACCAAAAAGACCCAAAGACATCTATGTCCCTATTTCTCATTATCGATCTTCTATTGTACTCTTCACTTTTGAGTTGCTCATATAAGGGAAACCACCTCACCGTCGCCCCAGCTCACCCCATTGAAAGATGTTCAGGATTCGGGTGTCAGGTGCACAAGTAGAGGTAAGTAACTGAGTCAGTCACGTGAGGGAGAGTCCCTGACTACCCTGGATACAAGAAGAACAACAAGGGGGTGTGTTACTGCTGGAGAGTGATAGAGCATTCTTTCCCATGTATCTCTTATCTCAATGCTGGATTATGAAATATGTGTTATTTTACACCTGCTGTGTGTCAGGCACTTTGCTTTACTGGTGGTTCAGTGGAGAAAAGAACATTGCCACAGTGCCTGGTCTCATGGCATTCACCTAGGAGGAGTAGATGCAGAAAATAAGCAATTATTTGGGTACATTGTATAGTATTTCAATCTGTGAATGTGTGGCATGGCATACTTGGGATATATGAAATGATATCAAGATTGTGAGTTAAGTGCTATTCGGGAGAAATTTGGATGCCATGAGTGAGAAATAACAGGGTAGACAGTGGCATTCAGTTATGTTGTGGATGAGCAGAGAGAAGCCACTCTGTCATTTCCTTATTGATTTGTATTTGCTCTATCTATCATCTATCTATCATCTATCTATCATCTATCTATCTATCTATCTATCTATCATCTATCTATCTACCTATCATCCACCTACCTAACCATATCTATCAATCATTTATGTATGTATCATCTATTACCTTTATATATGTTTTCTATATATCTGTATCTATCATCTATCTATCTAACCCTATCTATTATCTATCTAACTGTATCTATCAATCATCTATGCATCCATCATCTGTTATCTATCTATCCATCTATCTATCATCTATCATCTGTCTATGTATCTACCATCTATGATCTATCTCTCTCATTCATCTATCTATCCACCTATCTATATCTGTCTATCTATATCTGTCTGTCTGTCTTCTATCATCTATCATCCTATTTTCCCTGTGTGCTGGAAACAAGTCTGAGAGCCTTGTGCATTCTAGGTAAGTGCTCTGTCGCAGATACATCTACAATCTCACATTGTTTTAAATGAAGCCCACAAAATTTAACAATGGTGAAATGTTCCTCTGAGTGGTACAGCTACCATGCATGGTGTGTATTCTTGCCTGGATTTTCTCTTCAAGAATTGAGACAAAAAGGGAAGTCTTGCCTCATTAAAAACAGTCCTCTTCTGTGTACAGCATACATCATTTTTTCCCCATAGAAACTTACCTCAGCTTTCTCTGAGCTTCCTTTTCAGGAAATGTTGGCAAACAGTAAACCAACTCAGCATCAGCAAGGACACGGCCCCATCAGGGGACCGAGTGGAGCGATGGTCCATGTGTTCTTGAGCAGCATCTTTACCCTGGATGCTGTTTGCCTGCAGAGAACTAATTTGATTGGGCCATAAGGAAAGACAGTTTCAAGAGGTGATGTCTAAATCTAAACCTGAAGAAAAATGGGAGGCGTCTCAGGCCCACATGTCCTGGGACCTTGCCTCTTGCTCCCTTAAGGGGAAAAGGGAGGACTGGATCTGAAAGAAGAGGTACAGGAAAACCTGGTCTAAAGTAGGGGCAAGGAGGGTGCTTTTCCAGCAATATGTCACACTTGGTTATGACAGTAGGCGATACAGGGCAGTGGCTGATGGAAACTGGGTTTCTAGGTCATCAGCATGAGGAGTGTTTAAAGCTATTTGCAATGGAAAAATCTCATGGTAATGAACTCAATATCAGGAGACATGGTGAGACAACCACAAATTTTATAGTTAAGTAGCTTCAATGGTTTGCAGGGAAAATGGAAACATAGAGACTAGATAGGAAAGAAGGGACAAGAAGGGTGGACAGAAGCATCCTGAGTATGTTGCAATAGTGGCTGAATACAGCTTCAAGTTTCTTTTCCTTACCTCCTATTAGAATTTGCTTAGTAACTGTAACCCTGGCAGAACAAGACAATGAGTTAATCTCAAGACTCCTCAAATGAGCATTTTAAAATGCATTCCTTATCCTCTGGATTTTGAAAATTCATTATGGAATGACACTATTATGAGCTAAGATGATTTTAATTTCTTGAAGGATTTAGTCTGAGGTCTTATAAAAATTCTGTCTACTTGTTTTTGTTAGAAACACCCAGAAAACCACTGTGAATTCGGTTAATGAATATGTTTTCTATGCTGTCTTTGTACCTTCTCTGATTTAGGACTCCATTTAGTTTTCCAAGGCTTGAGATTTATAGGCATGCTTAATTGTTTCCAAGTTGGAGTTTATGTTGGTGGGTGCAATGCCAAGATTGGGAGCCTTGTCCTCTCTTTAATTTGCATGCTAAATTGTAGTTTTCACTGGGCAATATATTACTGCTCCTTGCTGTGTGTCTTGTAGGTAGAGCCAATACATATTGTGTGGTATGGTGCTATGGCCTGTTATAGTAATGTTTTATGATTACCATAATACTTTCCTCATTTGTTTCTTAGCTTAGGTTAATAGGCAAAACATTCATATCAAGTGTGATCAAAAGCAGACTTGCACGGAAAGCCAATTAAGTTTTCCCCAATACTTTGTACAAGAGTCAGTTTTAATATGGCCACATAGTGTGTTCATTCTGAATGGGTGAGAAGGGAGGAAGATTAAATGTGATGAAGGACACCGAAGACGCTACCTGGAAAGTTGCAGAATGGAGAGACCCGTGAAGGATTATGCATAGAAACCTGAGTTTGCAGCTGATATTGAACATGCCTGCATACTGCCAAGAACAGTTTAACATGCACTTCTGAGCTTCATCTTGCTCAGCACAGTCAGCGGTGGTGCATCCGTTTATTTATGCAAATATGTTAAGCAAACCCCAAGAGACCTTGAAAAAAGACCTTATAAACCATCTTAATGTTTTACTGCCATTTCCATGTATCAATGAAACTTTTTGCTATTTTAACATGCAGTGAGAATATTTTCTGTGTTTCAGGAACATAAGAAATTGCTATTGTTCATATTTTATCAACATTATACCACTGACACCAAAGATTTATATAATATAAATGAGGAACATTTTAAAGGTGAGCACTGTGAGTTGAATCATATTCTTAGAGAATAAAACAAAATTCAGTTATTTTGGTGAGAAATATTGAGCATTAGGTAGAGAAAATAGTTAATGTATATTTCTATTTTTTTCTTTAGTCTGCTTTGATTTATTTTTATTTGTCATTTGTTTTTCTAACCTATTTTCCCTGGACTGTAAGTCTAACAAGAATCTTCTGTAGAAAAAAATCCAGTATATACTATTTGATTCATAACTGATAGGATATGAGGATGGGTAATTCGCTGATGAATTTGGACTGAGTGTAGAATAGTAAGAGAACTTTTCTAAATTGAGCCTGGAGTATGAATTGTCAGTCTAAAAACAATCAGAGAGAGATTCTATATGTACCACCGTGAACTGTGCCCATGTTATATTCAAAGATATTGAGGTAACAGCAAGTTCTAAAGACAAAAATGAGAAGGGCTATCTAAGGTATTTTGAGACAATAGCCTTTGTTCCCAGTGATTACATAAGGAGGATATCAGTATGAGATTGAACAGAGTTGTTGGGCAGATGTCTGCAGAAGTTTTGTATAAGGTTATGTTGGATAGATAAGATATTAAAGTTCTAGTAGTCACTTTTGTGAAAGTTACTATCATGCAATTAGAATTGAGAACACTTTCGTCATAAACTTTCAGCTTTGTTGTTGTTGAGGTTGACACAAATGACTTCATTTTGGTTCTAATTAACTTTGACAGAATTATAACAAATTTTGCTTATTTTGTAAACAAAGTTACTTATTTTGATTTCTGTGAACACTGACAAGTTTGCATTTAGAGATAAACACAATGATGACAATGCATAATATATTCTAAAATCAGTGGCTTTGTATGTGGACCCAAATTTACTAGTTTATTTTAGGGAGAATTAAATCCCTATGTTACACGAGGAAATGGTTTTAGGTGAATGGAAAAAGACTGCAGGACATAATTGGCAATTAAATAGATTTTGACATATAATTCAGATTTTGACATATAATTTCATGCCAACTTCTTCTAAATTTATAGCAATATATCTATTGGGAAATATACTACACTGAAGGATTGTACACAGTTTATAGTGCACATTTGTAACTTGGTGCACTGATGTCCACCGGATTACATGGAATACAGTCCGTGGGCTCCTCCTGTGGGACAGTGGTCAGTTGTAAGATTTATTATTAAGGGATCTGCAGGTTTGCAGATGAATACCAGGGCAGTTTGCAGGATGATATGTACGGGGGCAAGCCTGGGCCAAATTGTGAAATTCTCATATTTCATGTTTGCATAATGACTTTTCCTTTACCTCCTTGCCATTTTCAGTTGCATCCTGGGCTCCCAGCCGATTGAACTGCTAGTGTTATTAAGATGAGAATTTCTTGGAAAATCTGAACTTCAGACTGGACTTGGCTTACTGTGTCTTACTGGCCTAGTCTCTTCCTTTGTACTCTGGAAAACAGAATTTTCACAGAAGCATATTTGCAATACTGGGGGGGAGCTGATTCAGCATTATAAGTTGTCTTTTAAATTTAACCCACATCTTATACAGAGCAAAGCTTTTCTCACATGAAACCACTATTGGAGCTTCAGATCAAATCCATTTTGTCCTAATGGAACAGTTATTGACAATATTTTGCTATAAATGAAAAATATAGGAATGCCCAAACTCAGTGGTACCCCAGAACAATAGCTGTCACCCCAGAATCTTCTTGCCTAATCAGTCACTCTATTTAGTGTCATTGTTTACATTCCCAATGTGCTCACTGAAGGTTCTGTTAGCTACGAGCATTTTATACATAAATATGACACTAATCCTTCATACAGAGGCTGCTCTGTAACTAAATGTCTTAGAGTTCTAGGTTAAGATGCTCATACAGTCCTTTCACACTTCCATCTGAAGCCCTTACTGCTCTGCTGGGGGTTCTTTCTCCTCCATCTATTATCTACTTGACCAGCTCACGTCACTTGATGGTGGTTTCTGTCATCTAGAGCCAGAAGCAGTTCCCGTCCCCCATATCTGTGGCTGGTTAGGACCTGGCCAAGCAGCAGGATATGAGTGGCAAGCAGAGTGAGTGAAGCTTCATCTCTGTTTACAGCTGCTCCCGGTTACCACCAGCATTACTACCTGAGCTCCACTTCCTGTCAGATCAGTGGCAGCATTAGCTTCTCATAGGAGTGTAAACTCTACTATAAACTGCACAAGTGAGAGATCTACGTTGTGTGCTCCTTATGAGAATCTAATGCCTGAAGTGGAGCTGAGGCAGTGATGCTAACACGGGGCAGGGCAGCTGCAAATACAGATTCACATTAGCAGAGAGGTTTGACTGCAAATGTATACCTTCTCTTCACTGCCTCCTCCTTATTGGTGGAAAAACTGTTTTTTACAAAAATTGTCCCTGGTGCCAGAATCTAGGGACTGCTAGCTCGGTAGTCCATGGAAAAAGGCTCTTCAGTGTCTCACACAGATAAACTTCCTCCTTTTCTCAGAGACATTCAGGATAGCTATTTTTCACTACTGTGATACTGACAGGTAGTAAGGCACCCCAAGAAAAAGGGACATTTAGAGCTTACAGACTTGTGCACCTTTCAGTCTGTCACTCTCTAGCTGGGTAAATTTGGGAAAGTTGATTACTGTTTCTAAAGTGTTGTTCCTTATTGGCAAAATGAGATACACTGCGCCATCTTTGTGAAGTAGTTGTAATGAACAATAGAATCCAACAATTAAAAAGGCTTAGGAAGAAGGCGTGCTCAGCCAGGGTGAGTTCCTTTCCCCCTATCCATTACAGGTCAGTGTGTGTGGCAGAGAGAGCATGGGCCGTCATCATCAGCTGAGGTCAAATCGTTAGAAGGAGCAGCCTAGATGACCAGTAGTACTGTAGCCAGAAGGCTGTGTTCACCCAACACTCATACATTGAAACCCAGTCCCCAGTGTGATGGGCTTTTGGAAGGTGATTAGGCCTTGAAGGCGGAACCTGCATGAAACAGATTAGTGAGCTCATCAAAGAGGGTTAAAGGAGAGCCCTTGTCTTTTCTACCACTTGAGGTCACAGAGAGAAGTTGAATGCCATGAGCCAGGAAGTCAGGAAGTGAACCCTCACCAAACAGTAAATCTGCTGGCATCTCGATCTTGGATTTCCCAACCTACAGAGCTTAAGAAATAAGTGTCACGTTGTTAAAGCCAGCCAGTTGTGATGCTTGATTACAGTATCCAGAGTGGACAAAGACAAGTAGGTAGAGTCCTTCTACTTCTTCCGTGTGTGCACTAAGCCTAGCTTCATCTCCACCAGTGCTGTTTCCCCTTTTCCATTTAGGTGGTAGCTAATGTCTTAGGGTTCCTGTTGTCTTTGATTTGCTGATGGCACCACATTTGTAAGTCAGCTGCAAAATAAGGTGTAAAACATCTATAATTTCTCTCAGCATGGTGTGTATAAATACACTAAGTGTATATAATAATATGCCATTCAACGCTAATGTCTGATGCTGACTTTCGCACCATAGGTCATCAAATGATGTTGCTTTTCCCTTTGAGCTCCTTTATGCTAACAAAATCAGTTGTTATTTTATTCACTAATTAGTGACCATCTATAGGAGGTGACAAAAGGGAGATGTAAAACAAATAATAGAGAGTAGGTTACAATCAAAGCTACTTATTTTATTTATTATAAATTTTTTTTTAAAAAGTCTCTTAACTTTGGCTGTACATTAGACACCTTTTGGAGAGCTTTTAAAATATTGCTAGCTAAGTCCCCACTGCAATCTAATTAAGTCAAAATACCTGGAGAGGAACCTGGACAGGGGCTGGTGCATCCTGTTGAAACGCCAGAGTTGAGAACCACTTCTTTAACGGATAGATCAGTTAGCACTATTAAAACAAGCATCAGTACAGCAACTGGAAAACATCAAGTTAGGGCTAAAAATCTTAGAGCAGTTATATAAATAGAGTTGGGGTGACCAGAACTACTTTTTAGAAAGAACAGCCATACTGCAATGCCTCAGTATTCCAGACTCTTCAGCAATCTCTTTTATGTATTCCTCAATTTTCAAATCTTTATTATCAAATATCATTGCTGAATTGTGTTGTCTTATCAAACCATGAAACTTGACAGTTTATCTTAAGCTGCTGTGTAAACATACCACTGGTGTGCTTGTTCTGTATTAGAGATGTAGCATCCTTAAAATTTTAGCATACATGGGAATCACATAGGGATCTTGTTATAAGTGCAGATTTTCAATATCTGACCTTCATCATAAAGTCAGAGGTGGACCCAAGACTGCATTTCTAGAAAGCTCCTGAATGGTACCAGTGCTGCTGAGGAGACACTATTATACCATATCTCTTTGTGGATTTTGACACTATTTCTGTATACATACATATTAATGATTGTGTCTTCATGGTGAATTAACCTCTTTGTTATGCTGTAATATTTCCTTTATTCTCAGTAACATTCCTTGTAATGTTTCTTGGTTTAGAATTAATATAGTCACTCTAGATTTCTTTTGATTGATCTTTTCATCTTACTGTTTAATTTTTTAAATCTCCTGACCCCATCTATGCCTTTGCTTTTAATGTGGGTTTGGCCTTGCTTTTTAATATGATCAGACAACCTCTATCTTTTCATGTGGGTGTGTAGGCCATTTACATTGCATATGATTATTGATACACTTTCATTTAAATGTACCATCTGGCTAAATGTTTTCTGTCTCATCTTTTCTTTGTTCCTTTTTCTTTTTCTCTGTTTGCTTTTGAATTATTATTTATGATTCCATTTCTCTAATATTGACCTCATATAGAAAACTATTTTAGTTTTACTTCTTTTATAGGCTGTAAGTTGTGACCAAGAGAGCCTTGAAGTTGCCCTAAATTGATTAAATTTATTGCCTTCCTGAATATAGGCTCCTAAGGTGGCTTCTCTTAGAGCATTTCTTTCAGAAAACTCATGACTGTAAATTTTCTCTGCCTCTTTGCCATGTAAATCTTCCTCAGTGACCCCTGTGTATATGTATTAATCCCCTGCAATGAATGTATTCATTGTGTATCACAAATATATACTATTAAAGCATTTAAAAATCAAATAACACTGAATTTTAAAAAATGAAGTATAATCAAGAAAGAGAGCTGCTGCCTCCTAGTATCTGTAGGAGGATCTGACCCTGACCTTGACAGTTGAGAGTGACCAGCCCACCTCTGGTATCCTGCAATACTTGGCCATGGCTCATCCCAGCATCCAAAACTCCTCCTGCCTTCTGTGTAAGCAGAGTTGGGTCTGTCACTCTCCTCTGTTGCAACAGTCTTGAATAAAGTCTTCCTCACTGTTTTTACAAAGCATCTGCTACAATTTTTCTTTTCAAGGACATACAATGTACATCTTTTTATCAGTAAATATTTGTGTTATCACTTTATACATAAGAACTGTACAAGAGCTCCTCACTCTTTTCTTTCCACTGTTACTATCTTCATTTCCCTTTTATGTGGTATAAGCTCTGTAATATGCTGTAATTATTTTTGTGGTAGTTATCTTTTAGAGCGATTAAAATAATACATTTTATATTTACCTTAATTTTTCCTTTTTCTTCATTCTTTGTTTCTTTGCGTAGGTCTGAGTTTGCATCCCTTATCATCTATTTTTGCTCTGATAACTTTTTTGAACATTTCTTGAAGAATACTTCTGTTGGAATGTTCCAAGAAATGCCTTTATACCACCTTAATGTTTAGCAGGTATATTTGATAGGCATAGAATTCTAAGTTGTTATTTTGTCTTTTTAAAACCCCTTTGATATATTGTTAATTTTGAATGACAAACTGTGATAACTCAAGAACTCATTTCTTCTTTCTGGTTCTTTCAGGGACAGCAGGCAGGGTCTTGCTGATCAGGTGCCATCGGATGCGAGGGGCCACCGAAAGTTCCGGGGCTTAGATGATGGGAGCACAGTACCCACTGTGGATCCGCTCTCCCCAACCCCAGCATTAGTGGAACTTTGTTGGTTTTTCTGAAGATGGAAGAATAGTGTTGGTCAGTGAAGCATAGAAAAAAAAGACCTTTTCCATTTCAGATGGCTATCTAATTATCATTTCTAGTTTATCTGGCTCTTTCTCTTTGTTAGAAGAGGGACAATTTCCTCTGAAATGTTCTACATTTTATTGGAAAGAACAGTTCTTGTAATTTCTTAAATTAAAATCTCACTGCTAGTGTATCATCAGTCTCTTTCTGCTTTTTTCATGAAGGTCAGAGTCATTAAGCAATGGAAAAATAATTTGCTTTATAAAATGTTTAACATTTGAGAAATTAGTGATATAACGTTGCATACTCATGCACATTTTAGTGAAACAGATTATATTTATTTCCTATGAGAGCTGTGACATTACCAGAAAATAGTGAATTAAAACAACAAAAATATATGCTTTTACCATTCTGGAGACCAGAAGTCCAAAATCAAGGCAGGGCTGTGCTTCCTTCAGAAGGTAGAGGACAGATCATTCTGTATCTTTACATCAGCTAATGTCCCTAATGCATCTAATGTCCCTCTCTTATTGTCCTACAAAGGCACTTGTGACAGGATTCAAAGTCCACTCCACTAATCCTGGAAACTCTCACCTGAAAACTCTATGTCACACATATTTTTTTTGAGGATTAGGAGGACATACCTTTGGGTGGCCATTACTAAGAGCACTGCACCCATGCTATTGTGGTTTTACTGTTAATGAACTTGCACTGAAACCACTGTCTGTGTGGGGCGCTAGAGTGAGGTAGGCACAGCATGCTAAAAGAAATGGTGTCATGTGCTTTCTTTATTTCTGGGCCTTTAAGCAATAATAATGATTACAATAAAGCTAATTTATTGAGTACTTACACTGTGTCAAGAGTAAGGCAACTTCTGCCAATGCTTTGCTGTTGAGAAAATGGCCTGAAGAATTGGGATGGCCTGAGAATCAGCAGCATTGAAATTTCCTGGAGCCTGTTATAATTGCACGATTTTGCATTGACCCATATTCAATTAAAATTTTGAAAAGGTCCCTGGTAAGTTGCCCGAACATTAACATTTGAGAAGACTCTTCTGCGGTAGTAACTTATTTAACCCTTACCCATGTTCTATAATGCAGGTGTTATTGTCAGTACCTATTTTATAGCTGAGGACCACGAGGCTTAAAGAGTTGGGGTAACTTGTGCAAAGCTACTTGTAACAGCGGGGAGATGCAGAATCCACTCCAAATCTGCCTTTTCCTAGAATGTGTGTTAAGGATCCATTGCAATGGCAAACAGAAACACTGAAATGACACCCAGGATTTGGGGGCAGAATTATTTAATGTCTGATGGGCACTGACTAGGAATCAATGGTTCCTCAAAACGTCAGGCCTCAAAGGCCCAGGGAGGGAGGTTTTTATGGGGCTGCAAAGAGGGTAGGGGTACAGAGGTAGAGTACTTGCCCATCTTTGATTGGTTCTTACAATATGCATCATAATGACCAGCTATGCATCGCAATAACCAGCCATTTCCAGGAGACAGAAGCACCTGGAACTGCAACAGGAACTGTTACCTGGGCAACTAAGAAACTGAAGTGTACTGGTGAGGCGAGGGCTTTTCCTGTTACACCATGATGTCTTGCCGCTTTATACAATGAACAGTGGATGTTGACTCATTAGAATCTACTTTTCAGCGACTCTCGTAAATCCTAAGTATTTTAAGTTTACTAAGTTTCTCTAAGCTATTCATTTATTCAGTATCAGTCCTACGGGACTCCCTAAAAACAGCATTTCTATATAATATCAACTCTAGGTAAAAATCTCTAGTCTTGCTGAAGGGATTTGTTATATCATTACTTGAATAGGGGCTAAAGAAATAAACTTTACTTGCAGAAAAACATTTACAATGTCAATTAAGACCAGGGTATAAGCATAACCTCTGCTATTTGCCTTCTGTTCATCCATATAGATGACAAATAAGCAAATGAAAATCTAACTGATGAGCTGACTCTGTACTACAAGAGGGTAGAGAACTGCTCCCTGCCTTTGAAAGGAGGTCCAAAGGCTCTGTGGCTTATTGTCTCTTAATAACCCGTGGTTACTGATTTAAATTAATTTTCAGGATGTGATATCATGTGTGATATCTCTGCGACATAGACATTTTCACCACTCTACTTTATCTGAACATGAAAATTGCTCTTTTTTTCCCCTCAAACCTTCCATTCTGAATTAAAGTCATGAATTTTTCACAAAGTGTTTATTAAAAACAAAAATACACTTTGTTTTAAAAATTCATGAAGAGTGTCAATCTTTTCTTTGTACAGATTTTTTAAGGCCAACTTATAAGTTCCAGATGGCAGTAGGAAAAAGAGCCAACATTCACAGATCAGGTGTCATATCCAGAGTGTCTCACTTATGACACAAAACTACCTTGTGTGGCAAAAACTATCTCTATTTTACATATAAGAAAACAGAGGGTCACAACAGTTAACCTGGTCAGGGACCAAAGTGAAAGGATGGAGCCAAGGAAATGGTGTCAGGTGCCTGGCCGCAAAGTTTACATTAATTTTTGCAAGTGTCCAAAATGCAGTTCAGTATCCCCTGAATTAATCTTAAGTAATCTTTCTCAGCTCCCCTGGAAACAAACACCTTCAGCTACTCCTTGACCTTCTGGTTAACTCAAGGTCAGGGAGTCAATGCCGCTCATTTCTCAACTGTACATGGATTTTTCTGAGTCTCAGGAAGAGTTGCTCATTAGCCCTGTGAAAAATACTGTAACACTCTATTCCAGATAAAAGATGGTATTTTAGTTACTGTTTCTCTTCAGAGAAAAAAATTGCTCTTCTGGTGTGACATAGGATGAGGACCAGTACAATGGCATGTGCCATTAAGATTATAAACCTCCTGATGATGACAACACTGTCTTCAATCAAAGGAAGATATCTGCTTGTTCACCTCACTCTTCATTCATGTATATTTACTTACTGTTTACAGACTACCTAAGACTAAGAGTTGCAGGAGCTTTATTAAAGAGCTTTTATCTTCTACACATAGGATTCATCTAGAACAGAATGGTTTTTGGTTTTTCTCCGGTACCGGGAACCGAACTCACGACCTTGCGCTTGCCAGGCAGGTGCTTTTGCCACTGAGCTAAATCCCCAGCCCCCATCTAGAACAGAATGAGCTCAACATTTTTAAAGAAATTTAAATGGATGAAAATGGAACAGCCCTCCTGGAATGGCTTGTTGCTGGGTATATCTGAAGCTTTGATGCATTATAAAGTGAGCCTACAGCCTAGAAATTTGGAAATCTTTCCCACTTGTGAGAAAATTCACATTGAAGGATGGAGAAATGATGTCATGGAAGAAATCAGTTTTAAATCTGGCTTACTCTGCTTGCACTACGTATGCAAAAATGTTGTGTGAATTAAACTTTAAAGGAGAAAGAACACACTCATTTATCTGAGCCAAGAAAGAATTTGATATAATGTCCTCTGCAACTCATTGTTTAGGCATATATTGAAACGAAGTACTAGTTTGAGAAAAAACAAAGTTTATATTCTTCTTTCTCCATAAGCCCTTCAGTACCATTTGGATAATCATTTTTTCCTCCATTTTTGACATTAGAACAATTATAATAAAAACCACAGTGTGGCTGGTTTTTCTTGTCCTCAAAGATGCAGTGCAAATTGGTTAGCACTCGTTAGAACTCCATATTAAGTGTAGTGAAGTGCAGTGTTTCTTGCAGTTGACTAGAGGATTCCCAGCAGCTTTCAGCAGTCCACTGTGGCTTTGATGTCTTAGTCTTTCTCCCATTTTATTACTTGTACTCATGACTTTCTTCTCCAGGTTTGGGGTTTCTTCATTGTGTTGGTTTGGGGCTTATTTTTACAAGGGAGAACAATATAATAGAGAGCACATATTCTATAAGATTATTTATTTTTTGGGTTTTTTTTTTTTTT